GCCCAACCACCAAGTATCCCTGCCTCACCACCAAGTATCCCTGCAGTGCCTCACCACCAAGTATCCCTGCAGTGCCTAGCCACCAAGTATCCCTGCAGTGCCCAACCACCAAGTGTCCCTGCAGTGCCCAGCCACAAAGTATCCAGGCAGTGCCCGACCACAAAGTATCCCTGCAGTGCCTAGCCACCAAGTATTCCTGCAGTGCCCAACCACCAAGTGTCCCTGCAGTGCCTAACCACCAAGTATCCGCGCAGTGCCCAAGAGCAGAGTATCCCAAATCCTCCAAGAAACATTACGTTCTTGTGCAATTTAGGATGGGGATGCTCGAAGTAGAAAAAAAATGTTTTAGTTGCTTCCCAACCCTCACAGTGGGGTTGTTAGATTTTAAGAAGTCTATGCTTTCCTCGCCCTCTGTGCAGTTCCTCACCTCAGAGTATCCTGCAGCCCCCAACCGCAGAGTATCTCAGCAGTCGCCCAGGCATCCCATATCATCTTTACAACTCCTTGAACGGGACGCTATGTAGGCCTCGCCTCATAACCCCTTGAAAAGGACCCTACAGAGCCCTGGTAAACCCTATACAGCCCTGATAACTTCTTTAAACGGACCCTGCGTAGGCCTTATAGCCAAAGGACCCCATATAGTGCGTCTAAGCCCTTGAAAAGGGACTCATAACCCCTTTTGGAGGCCTTATAGCCTCTTTACAGGGGCCCTATAGCCCTCATAACCCTTTTGAGCGGACCCTATGTAGGCCTTACAGGCTTCGTAAGAGACCCTAGTCCTTACAGCTCCTTGAGCGTACCCTATGTAGGTCGTATAACCTTTGTAGGAGACTCTATCTAGGTGGTTTGCACAAAATTGACCTTCTGTGTCTCGGGAGATTTGCTGAGTAAGATTCATCAGAATCGCTTGACAATCCCAAAGTGCTGGAAAATCACACTTTGGGGTGGGGATGCTCGAAGTAGATGACTTTGTTTTGGGGGCTTGGGACTTTCCAATTACTTGGCTTCCTGGCTTCTTAGCTTTCTGGCTGCGCAGCTTCTTAATTAGCGTCCGCACTTCTTGGCATTCTGGCTCCTCGGCCTCATGGCTTTCTGGCTTCTCGGCTTGTTGGCTTGGTGGCATCTTTTCTCGGATTCCTTGGCTTTCTAGCTTCTTGTTTTTTTGTCTTCACCAGTACCGCGAGTAGCACAGCACAGGTAACCATCAATTGATCTTGCATTCCTGTCATCCGATCATCATCATGCCTCATAGAGCATCGTCCCATCACTTTGTTGGCAAAGCCCCTAAACCTTGAACGGCGTTGTAATCACCATTTTTGCAGAAGTTGCTCGCAGGAGTACTCAACAAGGGGTTCATCCGAGCAACATGACATCGTGGGGGGGCTTCGCCTCCCAACCCCTCCTGCTGTTTTGGAAACCGTGCAAAAAATCCTGACAAGAGTATCGTGCCATCGCGATTTTTGAAATGTTTGCAAGAAAGAGGGTGTTTGCAAGATGTACCTCTGGGCAGTATATCATCCAACATCATGTTTGCAAACCCAAGCCCAACTACATAGATAGATAGGTAGATAGGTAGATAGATAGACAGATAGGTATGTATATGTATAAATATATATATAGTTATATATATATATGCTGCGCATGCTAGCATCAAAGAGCATCGATCACCATGTTTGCAAGAGTTGCTCGCCAGAGCGTGTAACAGGAGTTTGGTCAAGAAAGAAGAATATCTCATAATTGTATTTGTGGTGCGCGCCTCCCGCAGTCCCCCTGCTATTATCGTTAGTAGTGCTAGGGTACGTGGACACTACCCCAGTGATGTGTGCACGCAGGGTAATGCTTCTCCCACAGCCATGTTCGAAAAGGTTGCCTGCAAAAGTGCTTTCTTCAGGCAATGTATCCACGCTAGAGGGTTCAGGGGCCTGAAGGTGCTCCCGCCACAAGACCTTGTCGCGAAATGCAGAACTGTCGTCGATTTCATGCTGCTTCCCAAATGGGGTGCAGCGTGCTCGCATTTTGGCTAAAACCGTCTCGCATGGGACATCCTCGTTTGAAGTCGAGTCCCTGCGTGGTCCTTGCCAGCCTTGCAATTTGGCTAAAAACCACACACTCGCGCATGGAATTGTGCCCTGTTGTGGAGCGTCCTTGCATGGTGGAGCACCTTGGATTTTGTCTTGGACTCGCGCTGTCGCGTGGAGCGTCCTCACATGTTGGGGTGTTTGAGACAACGAAAAGTCCAAGAAAAATCAAACAAATCCCAAATTGAATCTGCGTCCTTGGAGACTGCGCCCCGATTGTCTTACAGGAGGTTCAGCAGCTCAAACAACAGCCGCTGGCCCAAGACTCGCCAAACCGATCGGTCCACACCAAACCGCTGGCCCAGGCTGGAAGTTTTGACAGCCAAGCTCGCAGCTGCAGAGAAGAGCCTCGTCGAGCACAGCACTGGATGGACTCGGTTCTGCTAGAGTACACTCCGCATTTGACTCAGGAGAGAGCAGGATGCTTTGCAGAAGCTGAAGGACTCTTTGAGTTGCAGCATGCTGCAGCTGTGGATGGCTTGAACCGCAGCTACAGATGTCTCTTGAGCGCAGGAGTTGCAGAACAAGAAGCCAGAGAAGGCGGGTCTTGGAGCCACCCATGCTAACCACCACGACATGCTGCAGCTGTCGCAGCTGCCGCAGGTTGAGAGGCCGGAGTCAGCAGGACGGGTGTAAATAGCCAAGATGTGGTTTTTGTTGCCAATTTTTACTAAGTGTTCTGTCGCATCGTTAGGACCTGCGGTGCCTGGTGACTACGATGAGCTGAAGGATCGCCTGGAGCGTAAACTGGCAAGGACGGGTAGCTATGAGAGTGTGCATTGTAGCTTAGTGGCAACGAAGATGAGTCCAGCAATCCGATCTTTCTGTTAATCTGCGGTCTTCGGCCTTTGACAGTTGCTTGGATGCTAGCGCGAAACTGCAAGTCAAAGCAGAGCTTGATTTTGAATTGTAGCAGCGGGGCAGCAATTTGCCAAAGCCTCGCAGAGGTAGCAGGGGTGAACCTGCGTGAATTGAACTTCTGGTAATCTTTGGCAAAGGATTGCTGAACTAGAAGCTGACTTGGACCAGGCCTGATTGAATTTTCCTTGAAGCCTTTCGGACAAAGATCCCTCACAAAGGCAAAGCGAGACCTACGAGCGGCCAATCGCAAGGTAGAAGAGCAGGAGCGAGATGGGGAAAGAGGCTTCACCTTGTTGACTGCATGACTCTGAACTCCGGGCCAGGAGCTGCTACTTCAGGAGAGGGCCAGGAAGGATGCAGAAAAGGCTAAACAGAGCATGGATCTCAGCCTTCTCTGACCTCATTTCCGTCAACACCTTTAGCCAGCCTTGTGTGTGTGTGTGTGTGTGTGACTTAGTGTCCGACCTCATGGAGAAGCTCCGGAAATCGGAGGAGGAGGTCACGTACTAACTGCAGACAGCTATGAGTGCACATCAATGTCTTTCCAGTTGTTTGTCAGGCTGAGAACCTGGCGGTGGCTTGGTGAGATTGGAACTGCATTCATGCCGTGTGGTAAGCCTTGTGCAATGAGGGCAAGCTGTACAAAGCCCAAGAGAAGATCAAAAAGCTCAAAGAAGAGATCCGGGACTGAAGGGGCTCAAAGTTCTGAAGAGTTGCATGCCAAAGCTTCAATTGTTGCTGAAGGAGCTTAAAAACAAGTTGGGCATCGCAGTCCAAGAAAGCGAGGAGGAAGAGGAGGAAGAAGTTGACAACTCACCTCACTTCATGAGCCGTTACTACCTTCGAGCCTCAACCTCAGCCTTTGTGGGTTTGGTCTGTGATGTGAGCTCAAGACAATCAATCAAGGCGAAGAACAGTGGCAAGCCACGGTGGATGCTACTCAGCGAGGACATACAGCGAGCAGCGACATACGCTTTGCTGCGCTACTTTTGCCGCACATGCCGCCTCTTCTTAGTGGATGTGCCGATGACCCACCATGAAACATCTGCTCGAAGCGGGGTGAACCGCGCACGCGTGATGGCCATCTCAGTGTAGGGGAGGAACCATGAGCTGTCCATTTCTGTTGCCAGGATGCAAAGCTCAAAAGCCAGAGGACAGAGCATATGCAGCAGCAAGCGCATCACAGCGTAAGCAGCCTGAAGCCTAGTCTTGAGGCCACCTGCGTTTGCATCCTGACTCCTGACATCATACGGCGACACTGAGGTAATTTCCAAGCTGCCAACGCGTTGCAGTTTTTGAGGCAAATTGCTTGATATCGTTTTCTTGTCAGGTTGTGGAGTGCAAATATGCATTAGAGCATATTCGCTCATCAGCATGCATCAGCTTTGAAGGCGTGCTCCGTCCTCTGAGAGTCGCCGTCTCGAACATTCTCCGTTCCCACTAACCACTAAAAAGGGCTTAAAAGCGGCTTTTGCAGGTCAGAAGCCTCGTGGAGTGCGCCTGCAGTACGGGGACACCCAGGAGTGGCACGGGATCCCAATCGTCCAAGTGAGATGACTGATAGTATGCTCAAGCAGTGAAAGTTCAAACCTAAGGTATCCTCCTGAGATGGGCATGGGCATGGGGGGCTTTGGAGGCAGCCCAGACCTGGCTCTTACGACGTTTTGACGAAATCAGCTGTGTGACTCTAATCATTTCAGAGTAGCTGCCAGCACCGGCTAGACTCTAATCTGCTGTTCAAGAGAGCTGGCTGTTTCCATCGCAAATGTTTCCTGCAGATGGCACACCTCATGCACCTCATGCTGGAGGATTCAGCAGGCAGGCAGCTTATGGCCCACTTGTTGTCCGGTGCTTGACCAACAAGAGTTTCTTTTGAGTTTTCCATTCAGTTGCATATTGTTGCTCTGATCCCTTCAGGCAGAGCAGCTTCCAAATGGGGCACACCTTCACAGGCTTCGGCTGCGTGATTCGATGTTGGCTCATCACATGCCTCTGAATCGCAGATGGATCTGCCGCAAGCCCGGGCGGCCGAAGGCCACTTCATGGCATCTTGGGGTGTATCAATAAGGACAGCGCCGCCCACTGTTCGGCGACAATTGGGGAATGTAAGACCTTCAGCTCTTTCTAGACTCCGGAATCTCAAGCAGGCTTGCCTGAAGCCGGCATGCTATGTGAGTTATGTGGTCATTCTGCAGGCTGATGACGTCTGGCTCAACAACGTTTTCACCGGGAGGCAAACCTGCACTCCTTCACTACCTGTTGTGAGTCTCCTTGGGCTGGAGCTGGAATCATTGCGTCCGCCTCGCGCCTTTCCTGGCAGATGCGTCGCCTCAGCAATTTCACAGCTTCAGCAGGACCGCCTTTCGGGTTCACGCAAGTCTTGATGCCTTCAAATGCCTTGCGGCCAGGCAAGGGACAGCAAGCATGGCGGGCTTCGGGCGCAATCAAGCTGGTATGAACCTGAGACTCTTTCTGCGTGCTGCACAATGCATTTCCCACAGCTCGCCCACATTCATGGCTTCAACTCAATACCACTTCTAGCTGCAAGATCTGCAAGCATGCTGGCAGGCAGTCCACTGATGGCTGGTGGCAACTCCAGGCACTCCTCAAAATTGCCCAGTTTAGCAGCTGAGAAGCAATCACACTGATAGGCAAAGCACGCCAACTGGGTCTGCGCTGGTCCATCCAATGCTGGGGATGCCACAAGGTCTGCCGCAAGGCCCTTTGCAAGGCCTGCCACAAGGCTTGCCACAAGGCCTGGCGCAAGGCCTACCGCAAGGCCAGCTGGAAAGGCGGAAAACTGGCAGAGGCAATGTCGCCATTGTACTGCTCAAGGCATGTCCTTCTCTGGCAGCAGGCCTTCAGCCGCAGAATGCCGAGCTGCGTGTTAGCGTTTTCTGTGAGAAGACTGGCTTCTGCAGGGCAGCCGCTCCTGCTGGCACTGGCAGCTGGCAGGTTTCAGGTTTGCAGATCCAGAGTTGGCCCTTGAAAGCTTTGATCCACACTGCCGAAGGACCAGGGATGAGCACGAGCGGTTTGAGTTACAGGCCCAACCCCTTTCCCATCACCAACTCGAGTCCAACTCGAGTCACCAAAAGGCTTTGAAAGCCCTTGCTGCAGGCCAGGCCTCGCCCCATCAGGTGCGAGAACGGGGGGGTGCGGAAACGGGTATGCGGAAACAACAGGTCCCCTCTGAAAGCGCCTTCTGACAGGTTCCTACAGCTCATACCATATCGTGGGACAAAGGCTCCGAACATGTAACATTCAACGCGTTAAATATGTGGCGCTGACTTTGTAAGCATGGCAGGCAAGGCACTCCGCCAACAGGCCAGCAGTTTAGCCATAAGTCCAGTGTGTTCTGCAAGAATGGTGTTTGTGACCTTTCTCGCTTTGCTTGTGTTGCAGCTGTCGTGAAAGACTGACTTCTTCGTCTCTTTCCTTTGCAGATCTGACAAACATGCTGACTTTAAGTGTAGCTTTACCCTTCCCTTTCTCTAGTGGCTTTACAGACAGGCCAGTTCACGTCCAAGGAATCTCAATCCAAAGGCACTTGGGTTCAAGGATTAAAGCCTCTATCAAGTACCTTAAGCGCGACTGAGTTCAAACTGTGCTCCAGTCAACCAGCGCGAGACAAGATGTCCATGAAACCTTCCATGTGCGCGAGTGAGCTGTGCAGGCGTGGCCGAGTTGCTTGGAGGCCCCAGGCTAGCAGCGGCCAGCAGCCCCTCACATTATGGTGGTCTTAGTGATATGTTGCACAGGGTGGCTGCTTCTTTTTCACCAACATCTGCGGGAGCAGGCCCAATAACCAATCAGCCTTCCTTCAGTGTCAGCGCCTGGCCGCGCTCTGCATGTTAGGCGAGATAGCGGCCAGTGCAAGGTGGGAGCAACGTAGGCTTGAGGTTTAGTCTCTTCTGCTATCAAGTTTCTTGCCGTCAGGTCGAATATGCAGGGCACCGTCATTCAAGGTGAGAAAAACAGCTGCAGCAAACCCTCATGATTCCCAAGCATTCACATTGATTGCACAGGCACTGCGACCTCGACTCACGCATCCAGCGTGTTGCCGCCACAGGTGCGGCAGAATGCAACTGTGGAAGGGTTTGGCTCAACGACACCAGCCCTGCCTCACAGAACCCTGACTGACGAGATGAAATCAATTGCTTAGAAACACGTTGGTTGCTGTTCACCCGGCATTCTCCAACACGAAAGTCACCAAAGTTGTGAAAGCAGGCAAACAACATTCCGCTGTCCACAAGCCGAGCCGTCCACAGCGTATGGTTTGGAGACTGCAAACATCCTGCCAGCTGCATGCTTCACGGCTCGGAAAATGAATGAAGTGTGTTCCAGAGAGGCGTGTTTCAACATCTCTGGCTCGGGCCCACAGGGTCTTGGGCTTCCCGACTTGGATCGCTTCGCCAATAAGAAGAAACAAATCATAGGTTCAAGAGCCAAGATTCCAGGCCCATACTTGGGATCGCAAAGAAAATGCACAGATCTCGAAAGCAAGTATTGCACAACACGTTTAGTGATTTCCCAACATCCCGACATCTCCTCTGAATTGACAGCTGCCCTGGGACCTAAGCCCAGCTTAAATGGCTACAGCTGGATTGCCAACCCCTCAGCCCTGAAGCACATTGCCCTCAATTGGAGTCTAGAAATGCCAGGTGTGTTTCTCTTTGTAGCCAGGAAGCCACGATAGTGAGCTGTGTGTGTTCTGCAGATGCATTACGTAGGTTGGTTGGGTAGGGGCTAATGCACGAATATACATGTGCGCACATTGCCTCAGCCATTGAGGCTGGAGCCGATTTCGGCTAGAGACATGTCAGCTCCTATCTTGAAATCCCGGCCTTTCCCTACCCTGAATGTGTGACAGAAACGTGGGGAGGGTCAATCACTTGTGTGTACATAAGTTTCTCGCTGATGGGAGATGCCATGCAATTCTGATGGGACCATCTTTTTGAAAGCCCAACGTCTAAAGGTCCCAGAGCTCAGCATCGTCATCTGGTGCGAGTTAAAAGAGAAGTGTGTCTGAGCCCTGCATGGCACAGTTGAAAGGCGGGTATGCACCCATGTATATCTATCTGACAGAAGCAAGTCGCCTCTATGCTGGGGCATTAGAGCAGTGCTCATCCGTTTTGATGAGGTGAACCTTGAAGTGCTTGGGGTAGCAGATTGAGCATCCCAAGACACAATTTCCTAGAACTTTACGTGTTCACGTCAATGTAATGCGACGGTTGTTTTGCATTAGGAAATCTACCCCTGTGTAGTGCTCCACTGCCTGAAAGACAGCGAATGATCAGCTTGAGGCAGATAAATGATTTTGAACATGTTGGGGCCGCGACCTTTAGATGCAGGGGGCTCCGAGCGGGCAATAAATTCTCGACGGGGCACTGTAAAGGATCCAGGCAGTGCTGTTACCTCTTTGCTTTCACAACATGCAGCTGAGGTCCAATATAGAAAATTTGGCAGGCTTTGCAAATTCAAGGAATTCATCTCGTCGTGCATCTCAGCAAACTTGGGGCACGCATTCTTCGCATCTGGGTCATCTAGCTCCCATCACCGGCTAGTACGACACAGCCACTAGGGCGAGGTTGCCCTTGCTGTGCTGTACCCTTATGAGCACGGTTGGGTTACAGCCAAGGAATCCTGGGGACATACAAGAATTTGAATCATTTAGCAAAGCCAGTTGCAAAGGGATCCGCACGCTCACTTTGCTTTGACCGTTCAGAGTGAAGCTTCAGCGAAACCGTGCTTGTCTAAGACAGGACCTGTTTGACAAGGCGCAGTAAACTCCCCTGTCTCTTGCCCATGCCTTCCCAAATGCTTTGCATTCTGCGCTTTGAGCCTGTGAAGAAGATGCTGAGCTCATTGCACAGTGCAGTGCCATGGCAGGATGGTGGCAACTCGACAGGCTCACATGCACTTTGGCTTTATACATTCGATGCTATGCCGAGCCTTGCAGGCCTCAGTTCTGTTGCAGTCGGCTCCCGAGTAGCGGCTTGTCGCGCGCAATGGATTCTTGGCTTCTTTCACCCAGGCCATGCCTTTGCGGCTGCCTCCAGGTCTTCTGGCAAGTGTGTGGCATGGAGTACCCTATGCGTCCCCTTGCCAGGTGCAGCAGACGAGAATCGAAGCGCCACATCTTCCGCGGCGTCAAGTGACAACAGGTGCCCGTGTGGATGCCTCCGTCCAGTGATCGCCTGCATGTTCCCTGCAGAGACCCTTTGCGTTTGAGCCAGCTCACTGCTCATTTTGATCCTTTCTCTGCTCCAGGCATCCAGACTTCCGCCATTCGAACTCGGCATCTATGTCGCCTAGCTCATGTCGGCTTCGTCACGTTGGGTTGGTGCCATGCTCAGTACCAGGTGAAGCTCAGCTGCTGCAGTGGGCTACGGCTAGTCACACCTAGGCCTCACCAGGAGCAGGAGGTGCTTCTCCCTACGTGCCTTGGCTGAGAGTTCTTCTACAGCTTGAGAGCTCATTGGGAAGGGAACATGTTCAGGATGCTCCGCTGCTCGAGCTGGTTCCACAGGACTCAAGACAGGACTTCTCAGCAAGCCAGGCGATGTCGCCGAGTCGGCGAGGTGCAGGTCTCCAGGTATCCACAGGCTCGTAACCGCCCCGATCCGCCTTGGCTGTTCAGGTCAAGTGCCGCTGCAGCCTTTGCGCCAGAATAGCTCCTCTGCGCCACGGCGTGATTCAATGCTGCTCAACCCTGCATGTTAATGTCAAGTCCACGAGGTCTTGCCCATGCAGCACGGTCATCGCATGGAAGCAGGCTCCGTGAGATGAGTGAAAGATACATCTTGGAGAAATTTCACCTGAGTCTATGGTGTCAGGAGATGCTTCTCTGGCGTTGCCAGACGATGCCTTCGTACCTTGGCTGCCATCTGCCACACTCGCGAGATCTGGCGAGGAATCTCTGCACCGCTCGTTTCCAGACCTGCAACCTTTCTCAGGTCCCGCGCCGAGTGCTCATGGAACCGGGAAGTCAATCAGTGCCAACCTCCGGAAGTCTGTCACTGTAGCTGATGACCTCGTAGTATAGCTTGTTGCTAAGTTTCAGCTCGCCTGAAGCTGGCAGGTGCCGGTTTGGCGCAAACAGGATTTACCTTCAGAGGGCTCCTGACTGAGGAAGCACTTTAACTTTGCTTTTCTTATTGTTAGTTCAGAATGAATCGTTCAGGTTCTACCCGTGCGACGGACCCGTCTCCGACTCCTTCGCGTGAGTCCTCTCAGGCAATTCGAGATTCTCCAAAATTCTTGATACCAATGACTCTTCCACGCAAACTGACAGCTTAGCTTGGCCGTCTCGCAGGTGCCGCGACCTCCGCTGCAAAAGGCGCCCACCTCACCACTGATACCCAGCTCTGGCATGCCAAGGACTCAGAGAATCTCGGAGAGATGGTCTTTGTATGTCTTTGTCTTCGTGAGAGTTTCAATTCAATGTTGGCTCTGAGCATGAGAGCACATGTCTCAGTTCTGATTAAATTCGCGCAGGGCGCATGTTACCATGCAGCTGAGCAAGAGAACAAGACTGTCATCTGGCAGCGTGACAGCACTCATGCTTATCAGAGTCAGAGGAGCCCACATGTACCATCAGGAAGCTGGATCAGATCCTTTTGGCTTTTCTTATGAATATTTTGCGTACCGAAAGCTCCGCGCCGTGAATGGTATGGAGTCATCATCGATTTCAGCTTCAAATCCGACTCTGAATGTACGCTTCCGAAGAGGCAGGGAGATAGGCTGTTGTCCGGGTGTGACAAGCGAGCTGAACAGGCTCCTCCGTCAGTGAGAGTTGGTGTGTTCTGAAGCGCTAACGTAAAGCATCATTTGTTTGAGCACGGTGGCAGGCATCGACATGACCCTGGAGCCGGCAGAGGGGCCTGTCGGTCTCGGCTACGAGGTTCCCGTTCCATAGTCAAGGCTGTCAGGACAAGTCTAGGAGTCTCGGAAGTGTTCTGTGAGCTGGATGTGTACATTTCGTTGACTTGAGTCCCATTCAGTTCTGTGCGCCCTGCCCCCCCCTTAAAGCCAAACAGCTAAGCAGCTAAACAGCTATTTAGCCTTCTCAAAGCGTTTCAATGTCGACAGCTGGGCCAACTTGCTTCGCTTCTGCTGGTCGTGGTCCTCATTGGCCTCGGCATGGCAGCGCGCCAGGCAGCTTCGCTTCGTTTGAACAAAAAAGGGGTCCTTCTTTAAATGACTGAGAAGCTTTAGGCAATGCTTTGCCATGTGCTTTGCAAGTGTTGACGCCCGGCAGAGGTTCCCTGGTTCAATTCTGAGCGAAGCGAGCTGCTGCGTTACGCCACATTCAAGGTTCATGCCTCGGGACTCGTTTTAGGACATGGAGCGCCGAATGTCCCAAAGCCCAAAAACAGGTGCAAGTAGTTGCATGGATGTCAGGTGCTGTTTCCGCTGTTTCTTCTTCGCCAGCTGTGGGTGATCAACCTGAGTACTGGCTTAGCAGCTTGACCGCAGCCTGATAACCTGCCATTGCGCCGTGGAGTGCATCAAGAATCGTCATTTGGCAAAAAGCTTAGTTGAATTGCACCTGAAGTTTGTGTGAGGCAGGCCTTCTGCCCCTGAGCTTGACGGTGCACGTCTTGTGGTTTTTTCTGAGACCTGCCTTTGAATGAGAAAAGATCAGAGGAGTCACTTAGTTTGAGACTTGACTGAGTCCGCAAGGAGTCAGCAGCTTGCCCGATTCACCCCAGAGGCGGGCATCACTGCACCGGGGACAAGCTACAAGCGCCAGAAAAGTTGCAAGGCATCAGATGTGATGGAGAAGAGTGGGCGCCCCCATGCCAGCTTGGTTGGCTGGGCCGTGCTCATGAGCCAAGGCTGGCCCCGCCATGTTCTGTGCTAAAAACTGCAGGGGAGGCAGAGCTTGCTACTTAAGCTTGCCAACGGAACTGCCCCTCTTTCAGGCGAGAACATGGCCTTCACCTACCCGTTGATTGCTGAGGTGCGGCAAGTGCGGCCATTGGCCGCTTTTGCAACATGCCGGGTCTGTCACCAGGAGTTCTGTTGACAGCTGAGGCATCCGTGCCGGATGGCCTTGCGAGCGCAGTCATGTGGGATTTGGGAGCCAACATATGGTCACTTGCCGGCACTTGTCGCAATCTCCTGTTGGTCAGCAAGACTACTGGGCTGAGGTTATGCCAGGGTCTGCTATGGGGCGTGGCGGCTGTCTATTCGCCCCATGTGCAGGTGTGCGGCAGAAGTTGTGTGCCAACGCTGTCTGCCTAGATGCTAGAGCTGCTGGAGGCCTCCGCCTACTCACCGGTTGACCAACCTGGCCTGAGCCCTCGATGTGCAAGTGAGCAAAGACATGCACTTCAAAACATCCTCGAGGCGACTGCGAGGAGGCAGATGCTTTGTTGGATGATCCGTCACTCCGCTGCATTGGCATGATCCTTTGCAATGCCCTAGAACTTCGGGCATCGAGGAAAGCAAGTCGTCGCGGCTTCTTGGCAGGCCTCCCACCTGGCACAAAGGCCCGGGCTCCTCGAGCAAGAAATTTGTTAGCGAAAGTAGTTGTCCAGGATATGGCGCTCAAAGCCGTGGTTGAGTCCGTCCTCCTGCGTGCCTGCCTCGTGGGCATTGGTTCCTTGGTGGCTTCCGGTAAAGCCATAAAGCCATGCAAAAGAATGCAAAACAGAGCCCTGCAGAGCCGCTCCCTGAGGCTTGAATCTCATTCAGCTGCCGCTTCCTGGGTCGCTTGGACCGTGTTAGCATCTCACTCTTGGTGTTACTTGGCGGCGTCTACTCCCACATGGCTGCTCCACAAGGACTTTGGATAATGGTCTGCGATATGTTGGAAGCCTCTGCAAGGCAAAGAAGAGTAATGGCTACTGTCAATAATGAAGACTGTATATCGTGGCTACGCTTGCTTGGTGGTCGTTTGGGTGCCATCGAATTTCTCATGCTGACGCAGGTGATGCTTTACTTTCTGGTTGGCCTGTATGCAGACTTCAACCTGTCTGTCGGAGACTTCCGGTCCCCGCTCAGGATTACAGAATGAATTTTGATGCACTGAGCTCCCAACAGCCGACGTGCTTGTTCAATTTGACGTCTGCAGCCAGCAGAATCTGCTGAAGCTATAAAACTCCTACCTCTGTCATGTGGGGCGTTGCCAGCCAAGGTTCATTGCTGCAGCCCTCTTCCAACGACTGCTCGCTCAAATTGCCATGGCTCTGCACCTTTTCTGCAGGGTTTGGTGTCATTCGGTTTCTGCTGCCCAAGCAGTTGCAGGAACGTCAAGCTAAGAGTGTGTATTTCCCAAGCCGTGTCAGAGCTGTCACAGATGTGTAGAAGCTTGTGCCAGGTTAATAGTGCTCGTCATGCCTATGCCGAGTACGGCATCCCGCAATGCTGCTTGTTTGCATACGTGGTTCCTGCCAGAGCTTTCAGCTTCATCACCTACACTCTGCTTCACAAATTGGCCAGGCGATTCTGGTCACCATTTTCTCGTCCGGACCATCGGTTCTTATGCACATCTTGGTACCTTGGGCTGCAACAAAATTGTGCTGATTGATTTGCAGAGACATGCCGGAGTCAAGGCTGAGACTGGCTATGGCCAGCACCTGGTGAAGCTATGTGTCACTGGAAGCCTGATCAGCACAATTCTGTCCGAGACTTACACCCACGCTCAAGACCAGCGTTGCCAGGAACGTTTGCGCCGAGGTGCGTCACGCTTCAGACAGCTCTGCTAACACACTTCCAGCATGGCTGGGAACGCGGAGTATCCTAGTTTGTGGATTGTGTGGCCACTGCCTTCTCTGTGCTTCCAGCAAGGGAAAGCTGGCCCTGACTTTAGTCCAACACTTAGATTTACTGCAGCTTCGCCTGTGTAGCGGGCCTGCTGCTAATGTTTACGGGTTTGAGGCAGGCAAGAAACTTGCCTGCCTTTCCGGGTTGAAGTTTTGAGGGAAGCACGTGGTTGCCCATTTGCACTAGCGCAAGACCTAAGGAGCTTGCATTCGCTGGGCACTGTGAGCGCCTGTGCGTTGCATAGCAATGCTGCAAAAGCTTGGCATTGCCTGGTGGTGATCATACCCACCTTGTTAACGAAAGATCTGTGGAAGGGGGCACGGAAGTGCTCGCCTCCACGGGCCTCTTGATTGGTGCAAATCCGGCAAGAGACATCCTCCCAGCATGCGGAAATGTGGATTCTTGAACGCATTGCCGGCAAGATGCATGAAAACTGCCGGCTGCAAAAGCAAAGGTCTGGCGCGCAGGCAGAGCGAGGCGTGTTGCTCCCGTTGCATGATGCTGATTGAAGCTTTCACAGACGTGACCCTGGCCTCTGATGACAGGCTTGACGACCTCCAAGACAACTTCAGCCTTTCGACAGGCGGCGTTTCCCTATTATGTTTGTAGAGCAGGTCCCGCCATCCCTCGTGGGCCATTTCAAGAAACCCTTGTTGATCTGAGTACCTTAATGCTCTGCTTCGTTGTTTGGGTGCTGGTGATTGTGAACTTTGCAGCCCGTTGGTTCATGAGCAATGGTTTCTTTCTAAACTGATGTTGTGCGCGTCCGGCAGACGGAGGAGCAAGCATTTGTTTTGTCCTCTCCTTTGGCTGCTTGCTTGCACGCTCTGGGGTGCTTCGATGTCAGGCTTCCTTGTTGTAAATGATGCGCCCAAGCTTGGGTTGGGCCTTGCAGCGCTTGGAAGGCCTGGGTATATCAATCTGGACCGCAGCAGCGACCTGGAAGCTGCAGAAACCCGAACACCAGAGGCCCTTCGGACACGAGCGTGGGAGGTTCTCGATGCTGCTTGGGCACTGGGCCTAAGATACTTCGACTGCGCGCGCAGCTACGGTCGAAGTGAGGAGTTTCTGTCGGGCTGGCTGAAGGAGAAGCAGCTTCGAAAGGAGGATGTAGCTGTGGGTTCGAAATGGGGCTACAGATACACAGCAGCCTGGAGGGTGGACACCGGTGGCGAACCTCATGAGGTTAAAGACCACTCGCTGTCTCATCTACTCCACCAAGAGCAGGAGACCCAAGAGCTTCTAGGTCAACATCTGCGGCTTTACCAAATCCATTCTGCAACGCTGGAAAGCGGTGTGCTAGAGAATGCAGAAGTCTTAGACCAACTGCGAGAGTTTCGCACGGCCAGAGGTTGGCGAGTAGGTTTAAGCTTGTCTGGTGTCGGTCAAGGAGACACTTTAGACAGGGCTTTAGCCACAGGAGTCTTTGACTCTGTCCAGGCCACGTGGAACCTCCTGGAGCAGTCCTGTGGGTCGGCCCTTGAGCGTGCGCACGAGGCTGGCTTGGAGGTAATCATCAAGGAGGGTATGGCAAACGGCCGCATTCTCCAACACCCAGCCTTGCTGAGGGCTGCCAAGGAGATGGATGTCTCCCCCGATGCATTGGCGCTGGGAGCCATCATGGCCCAGCCTTTCAAACCTATGGTGCTCTCGGGAGCCGTTTCGGTCGGCCAGCTAGAGAGCAATTTTCAGGCCGTCGCAGTTTGCGAGCGCCTTCTCAAAGATCATATGCCGACGCTACAGTCGCTTCTGGCCGAGATGAAGATGCAGCCGTCCGCGTATTGGCAGGAGATTTTTCTGTTCAAGCATTGGCAAGCTGAAGCCTGTGACAGTGTAACTCCAAAGCTTTGGCTTAAACGGTGGTGTAGTCAGTGGTTTGCTTCATAGGGCCTCAGACACGCTTCAATGTTCGCCTGCAGGAACGATCAGCCCTCTCTTGGAACTGAGTGCAGCTCGAAGCAAGTTCTGTAGGTGAGAACCTGCCAAAGGCAGCTGGATCAAATGAACGCGTTATTGATTTTCGATAGTGGCCACGCCTCATGCAAACATTGCTGCCAGGCCGAAGGGGTTTTGGGCCATGGGAGTTGGTGTGCAACACCTGGCAGGTGGATGTTGACCTGGCACCCGTCGGAAGGGTACAGCGATCTGGCACAAAGAGTAATGAACGGCTTTTCCAAGCCCGCCTTCAGTTGTAAGCTAAGGACTTCGCCCGTGACAGGAGTTGCTGCCCTAGGATCTTTGATCTTGTGCTCTTGGCTCATTCAAGTTTAGATCACGTTTGAAAGGCTTCCGGGCTTGATGCCAGCCAGAAAGTGATGCTCGGCACTCCGCGGAGCCACAAAAACGGCTTGCAATCGTTATGCGCCCAGAGACTGTCAGCCCATTTTCTCAAGGTCATGGGCGGGGCAGAATCGACCAAGCGCACCAAAGCCGCTGACAAACGGAGCATTGGTGCAAGGCAGTCTCCTTTTTGAAAACAGTTGTGCACAAATCTGAATATTTTGCGCAGGTAGAGGTCGCGCGGACCTGAGAACCGATCTGGCATGGTGGCTTTTGTTGAGGTGGTGGTTGCAGTATGTTGCAGTGTTTGCGGGGGTTGCTGAGGACTTCCACCACCCCGCAGCTTTTCAACCTCCACTCTGGAAAGCCAGTCTCCCAGCCTCCCAGCCTTAGCTCCTGCAGCACTCAGGCCATTCTCTGTGAACCGAGGTAATGTGGAGTATGTACAGGCGGATGCATTGCCAAGATTGCCGGCAGGAAAGGTGAAGAAGGCACGGATACACTCATGCTGACAGCATGCGAAGACCTTGCTGGTTCGCTGATGCTGCCAATTCCTTCATAAGGCAGCTCCGACTCCAAGCTGGATGTCTTCAATCTTCTGAGAAACTGGGTATGGGCGACGCTTCTCCACAAAGCTTGGAATAAAACTTGGGTCCCAATAACCCCAGGCCCTTGCAGTGCTAGTTGAGACGAACCTTTGTTTGTCTCAGCAAAGCTTGAGAGGCGTGGAGTGGCTGGCTCGGGCAACCCGTGTATACTAGCCGAGATCGTTAATGTTCAAAGCCTCCTTGAAGGAGATGCAGTGGCTCGGGCGGTTCGCAGAGTCGAAGTCGCCGGACATGTCTTGGGGAAGACCTGGTCTCCCCCCGTAAGACATGTCTTTCGAGTTCCGATAACCACAACTACAGCCCCTCCGGCCACGTTGCTAGCTTCTAGATTCTTGTACTTCATGGATGACATCACGAAATTAAGACCAAAAGTGTGTTAGCGTAGTCAACTGCTGCAGGGGCATCGGAGCAACTGTTTCACATCGGAATGCGGAAGGCAACAATTTGCAAAAACTACATGGTTCATTTGTCAAGTCGCCGTCAGATGTTGCAGTTTGTGTGTAAATGCAGCTGCCAAAGCCGCATGGCTCCATTGCGGTCCCATGACATGCTGCGACCGTTGGATATCGTGTACCTAAGCTGACATGCTTGGCTCCTCACTCATCGCAGCTTGAAGAGGAAGGAAGTAGATCAGGTAAATTAAGCAGAAACACTGACCAGAGAAATACGTTTAGGCACCAAGCCCTCGCAGATGGGCACACTGCTGGCAGAACGTCTTGTGCGAGCCGTGGCCTCAGCTCGTCAATGCAATCCAAATCATTTGTCCTAGCTTTGAGGACCGACTCGCAGAGTTCCAGAGCCTGGCCCACGCCAAGGGATCCCTGACGTCTAAACCTCAAAATGTATCGCCTACACTTGCGTGGGAGAGAGAGGGAGAGGGACCGAGGGAGCGGGCCCGTTCAGCTGCCTTCCCATAAAATGCAGCGTGCTGGTTCCAGGGACTTTTGAGCAGTTTGCTGTGCTCATTTGTGGCTTCTTGATGCTTCTTGTGGCTTCCTCAGCATCTGCTTACAAAACAAGAGGCTGCGGTACCAAAACCACGAGGGTTAAAAAGTACAGCGTCATTCAGCACACGGTGGCCCATTTTTACTTCCAAAGATGCCTAGCCTTGCCTACCAAGTACATGAACAGCTTGAATCGAAACCTGGCAACAGCTTTTGGCATAGCATTCGCAGAAAAAGTGTTGACCTCCTAGGTGGCCATATTGCGCCGCCCAATAATATGATAGAAGTGTGTCAAAGCGGCCAGGTAATGTGTGAGCAAGGTCCATTTCCAGAGGCTGGCACGTCTTCAGCACGACAAGCGGAAGACTAGCAAGGACACAATATGTGGGCTGGCAGTTGGCCGGACCTGTAACCAACCCTTTTTTCCCTGTGACGTCTCGGGAGGCACTTCTGTGATGCACGCGATACAGTTGACAGCGTCTTGGGACAGGGAAACAAAGCAGGCCATGATGGAATTGAACACAGACCGAAAAGAATGGCCTCGGGGGGAGTTGGCTACTTAATCTCGCTGCTGTGCTTACTGCGAAGGGGTTGGGAAGAGGCTCTGTGATATGCAGTGAAGGTTATATGTGACAGTTGAACTCTGTCCAGCGGCTGTTCGCACAAGTCAGTAGTACCCCTTTCAATCTTGAGTTTGGTTTCACCAAGCATTCTTGCATGAAGCTCAAAAACGAGCCCGCCACTTCAGCAGCAGCAGGCCTCTGATCACCCAGTGCCTTGCCAGGTATATGCTGAATGTGTTGCTTTCTATCCTACATTGTGCAACGCCCCGACGCTGCAAGGTCTCAGGCAGCAGGCAGCCGAGGTCTGTCAGGCGCGGCTTACCAAGCAAGATGCTTGCATCAAGCACTTTTGCTTGCATTTCCTGTCGGCAGAGTTTCTGGTCACTTGCTAGAACTCGTCTCAGTTTGCCATCGAACGTAGAACTTCAGGCAGCAGCTTCATTTCGGATGGCGTGGCCACCAAGTCCACGAATCCTTTTGGCTCCAGTGCCTTGGAACAAAGTGCCAAGAATCATTCTTGTCCTTAGCTCCTGAGACGGCCATGTGGAGGTTCGGTTGGAGCTGCAAACGTTGGAGCCGTGCCTGGCTTGCACTGGGGTCCAGAGCGGCTTCCGGGTGGCGCAGAAACGTTTTCTGGTCCACCCATTGAGAGAATCAGTTTGTTCGGCTAGCCGAAGGATTATGCGCGCACGTTGGTGTTGAGTGGCCAAGGAAGCGAATAGCTTCATGAGGGAGCCCGTGCCTCGATGCTGGGCTTCTTCACTTTCATGACAGCTGTTCAGCCCCGCTCAGATTTTTCACCTATGTGCGAGAGCTCCAGGGACCGCCTTGCCTGTGGCATTTGGGGAGCAAAGTGAAGAAAGGCATCCGGGTTGTGAACTGTCAGGATTGCTTGAAAAAGGCAGAGGCAACGTCACGGAAATGGGGGTGGTCCTTGAAGAGGCGCTCCAGGCAGCAGCGTTCATCAGGAGGGCCGTGTTACGTCAACGGTTTCTGCTGACGGGAGTGGTGAGGCCACGACACAGGAGCGAGAGACAGAAGTTTCTGAAAGCCTCAACAAGCTCGTGGAGGAATTTCAGCGGCAGTTCTTAAGGCTGGCTTGCTCTTTCTTTGTCTCTGACTTTAGGAGACCAACCGCCACGTGGCTGATGTCAAGCATGGCCTTGAGATCCTGAAACAGCGCTCAGAGGTTTCGACTCGCTCAGACCCTTTGCGGCTTGTTGACCTAATGGGCCGGCTGGAGGAGGAAGCTGCCAAGCAGCCAAACTCTGCGCAGATGAAGATCAGGTTGGGGCGCCGCACCTTTGTGGCAAACTTGTGAGTGCCATTGTGTCAGGACAAATATGCAGCAAGCCATGGCCAAGAAGCGAGGGCCAAAGAGAATTGGGGCCCAAACCTGCCCGTTTCATAAGTCACCCTTTGCAAGGCACCAGCAGCTCCTGATGGACTTTCAGAAGGCATTCAGATCGAACTGCGAGGTCAATCTCTGGCAGTCTTTGCAAAGGCACAGATGGACTTCAAGCGCACCCTGGAGCACCGCCAGCTGCGGGAAATGCAGATTCTGATGCCCGAGGTCTCTTGTCTGCCAACAGGCTTGTTGGGGTCGAGGTGGATATTTGACTCGTCATAGTCTGCCAGGCTACGGAGCAACAGCGGCAGGAAATGATCTCCGATGGGCAGACTGCTGCTCTCATGGTGGCCAAGAAGCACGCAGCCTAGTCCTTGATTACGAAATGGGCCTATTCTGGGTTAGCGCTCAACAACTTCATGTACCATAGACCCTAGACTTATTTTGGCCAGACGCTTGCAGATCCCTCTGCGCGCCTTAGGATGGCGGGCACCCACGCGCTGCTTTTGGATGAGGCCTTCGGTGTACACGCGATGTGCTCGGCATGTACTTTGCAACTCTTTCTGCCTTTCTGATCAGGTGCGGCGCATACAGGATAAGCACAAGGACCGATGCGGGGACGCCGACAAATCCAGTAATTAACTTGTTCTCCGTGATGCATGTTGATACCCTACCAAGACAGCTGCCATAAGCAATCAGGTGTCAGGCCTCAGTTGTGGTCAGCAGAGTGTGTTCGATTCCGTGCAGGACATCATTCGGCTAGAGCAGAGCATCACTGACCTGGTGCGCTGGCCAATCGCAAGACGATTCGATGCAACAGATGACCTGCTTTTTCTTGCAGGCTCAGATGTTTGAAGAGATGGCTGTCCTCGTCGATGCGCAGGGAGAGATGTTGGATGCAATTGAGGAGCTTTGTCCATGTGTTGTGTTTAGAAGGCTACATCTGCAATGTGCTGCAGGTTCACGTCAACAACACCAAGGGGTACACTGCCAAAGCAGAGCAGGACATGCAACATCGCAGCAGGGCAATGGCAGAGATGGGGCATCAGTGATTTTTCTAGGAGTTGATAAAGACAAGGAAGGCACAGATGCAGGCCCGAGAGCTTGCATCATTCTTTGCCATCAGCATGAGTTCCCTTGTTCTGCATTCCCTTAGGCGAAAATTCAATTATGCATGTGGGGGCAGTTGCTTGGCCCGTCTGTCACGCAGTCAGCCGCTAGTCACGAATGCAGCAAGGCTGCAACAAGGGATGCGCAAGCCGGACGTCTAGGAGCCAAATTGCATGGTTGCCACTTTGGCTGGCTGCATGCAGGGAAGAAAATGGATGTGTTGCCTATCTATCGTGATTTTAATCGCAGGGGCCCTTGGTTATCTCTGGGCTTTGCTTGCAGACATCGTCATCTGGATAGCATTGACTTCTGAGGTTCTCCTTGTGATCCTTGGGCCGATTCTCATCAGATAGAGTTGGTTCGACGCAAGGTGCGCACCGCTGCTGGGAAGACTGAGCCACTCTGCGGAAGACAGCGTAATGAACCTGGTAGAAGAATCAATAGTACAGTGTGAGTATGTGCGCAAACTCGTCATTCCCTACACAACTTGCAATTTACTGCAGAAGTAACAGATGGAGCTAGGGAACTAACAAGGGTAAGCATCCCGCGGAATTCAGTTGTGTTCGTTCCCTGCTTGTTTCATGTGTCCGCTTTGTCTCCCTCCTCAAAGCCACCATCAGATGGCGTGGCGCGCTACGCTGCTTTGTTGTCTCTCCAAAGCCCACGGAGCTGGATAGCATCATGCAGCCCATTACACTGTTTTGCGTCTCGTAAAATTCTGTATCACTTCTTGCTGCCCTGCCTCCTTGTCTACCGCCATGAGCGGGAAATCAGATGGTGCACAGCGCCTGGCAAGCGATTCCTAACTGGGGGTTGGCTTGTACTTTTGCAATTTGGCGGTGTGGAGATGAGGTTGTAAATGAAGTCTAGATGCAGCGCTTCTGACAGTATTGCCTGAGTTCTGCTAGCGGTGTACTTTCGCATCATTAGCCCTATTAGGCTTTCAATTCAAAGCTTCGCAGCGTAGTTGCACCTTTTTTTTTCCACAGCCTTCGCCGTGAGTTAAAAGGAAACAGTGCCCTATCATGGACTGCTTGGTGCAGGTGTCGTGAGGGGCGCATCCTCTATCCGCGTGTACAGTTTGGGCGGAGCCACGATTTCTTCTCTGCTAGAAAGGCGGCAGAAGTGTCGGACACGGTTGGAACTGTACAAGGGCAACAAGCACAATGGCAAGTCGAGCTGATCAACTGCAGTTCCCATGTGTACAGTTCCTTCCCATGTAGTTGCAGGCCTAATTGCAAAAAAGGAACATCTGCCGCAATTCCAAGTTTTGCTGGATTCAGCGTCTACAAGGGATTGATGTGTGCTTTAGCCAAACTCAGTGGCTCTTATTCGTATTGAGCAACAGAAGTTTACCCCGGCAGTTGTAGGGCTTCAGGAGGTTTAGGACAGGCATCTTGTCACACAGTCGTAACTGCCCGCGCAGCTGCAGCACATGGATTCCAGGATTCGACAATGGAAGACATTTGTGCGAAAATGCTTCCAACATCCTTTTAGGCTGAAGTCAGTGAGGTGTAAGTAGATGTTGAAAGAAGCTGACGAGCCCCTCAACCCACCAAAGTTGCTTTACCTCTCAGAGACAATAGCAAGGGCAGGGCAAGAGTCCTGGCACTGCCATCCCGGATGGCCGTCTCACCGTAGCTCGTCCGCAGCATCAACTGAGCCATGGAAGCTCGTTAGCGGCTTCTTTCCGGCCTTTCCAAGCTGGCACAGAGCGATGGGGCATGGCATGTTGGGCAACTTGCTCTTCCTCCATGCAGTGGTGTGCTCAGTTGGCTGAGTTGAATAGGAGTAGGCAGGTGCCATTGGGTTACGTGAATCGAGCGTATCATGAGCTGAGGCAGTTGTTGCGCGATGTCAGATCATCGAGGGCCCTGCCCCCGAGGTTGAGTTTCAAGTCAGGACTGCAACTTGAGCATCAGTGTCAGAGCCATGCCATTTCTTTGCTGTCCCGAGTGCTCCCTGAAGTTTTTAGCTGCTGCAGGATGACTGACGAAGTGAAGGATGCATTCGCTGCCTTGTTTGACGAGACCTTCATGCAGCAAATGGCAGGGTGTTGCAGCATGTGAGGTGCAGTAAGGGATACTGCGGAGCCGATTTTGTAGAGGTTGATTGCCAACAGCTAGCTGGAGACAACTGCGATGTGACTGGTCTGGCAGAATACATGATCCAAGTGCAAGCCTCAGCCAAGTTTTTGTCCTTGCTTCCGGCCTTGCTTGTTCAGATTTCAGGTTGGGCAGAGTCTACAGAATTCATTTTCGCAGTGCCCAATCGGGTGCACACATCCTCAAAAACTGTGCAAGGCTTTGCTACTCCACAAGACAAGCTGTAAATGTTGTCAGAAAAACGTTGCGAGTGTGAGTTCAGGACTTTTGGCTTGCTTTTGAGGCAGCTGGAGCCTAAGCTACCCCGCAAAACTTACGGCTTCAAGAAGACTCTGGACGCCCGTTGCTGAGAACCCTGTGGCATTGCGCAACGGCTGCGCCATGACCAACAACTGGCCTCTTGGCAAAAGTTGAGAATTGATTCCCAAAGTCTAGCACTTGTGCATTCCGAGGCCGGGCGTTTGCACCACCTTCCTCAGGGAGCATAGCTGGCTAGATTATTACACGCACGGCCCTGGAAATTGCAGTATGGGCTTTTCGCTTCAGGCTGCAGAGAAGAGTGGCTGACGAGACTTGGGAATTGTCTGCCCGTGACCTCAGCAACTGCTTTCTGCAAAGTGTTATTCTCCCATGCCGTGGTGCGCCTGATGAGGTGATGTGTCGCATGATCGATGCAGGACTAGACCTCGCTCGCATGTGGAATACCCAGACTGGCCTTGTGATCCTAATGCCCAAGCCCACGTGAAAGCCTGCCTTGCGAAGGCCGGACTGCAAGACCCTTGCGTTGATGACCACAGTGAACAGACCCTCTTTGCATGATGGTGGCTCCATGCTCAGACAACCGCAGCTACAGATTTCGTTCATGCTGACGTTCACATCAAAGTGTGCAAGAAGGTCATGATCTTGCTGGCAGCCCTGTAACTGTGTCAGGCTGTGGCTTCCAGACTCGAGATGAATGCATGCACTTACCCAAGATGGCTGGGCATTTTGCCTCTGAAGCTTCTATACAATCTTCAAAAGACGGTCTTGCTGAGCTCGAATCTCTGTGACGTCTACAGCCAGTTTGCATGGCGCATGCGCCCAAGAAATCTGATTCCGGACCAGGCCATGCCCTGGGATCCAGAGTGTGAGAACTTTGGATCCTTGAAGCGTTAAAGCGAAGTTAGAGACAGGTGAAGGTGCCGTTTGACTACAGCTACGTGCTCCAAGGCTGTGAGGAGCGAATCTTTGCGTGACCTGCTTGCTGCATTTGAGAAGTTTCCTGCTGGTTGCAGCACTTGGTGGACCTGGACATGTACAATCGCCGGGATGAGTGCCGTGACCGCTTGGATGCCACAAACCCAAGCCTGATGCAGATGCCTGTGGAGTTTGTGCGAGCAGCCGTAGCAACAGAAACTGTTGGCCTGAGGTCATGGCTTTCTGCGATTGTCTTTGTCCTGCTGAAGTCTGAGAGTTGCAGTATCTCCTTGATGAGGTAGGTACTTGTAAACTTTGTAAACGGGTGCCCCATTCTGCCAAGGGGATGAGCCTCGTGGATGCTTTCGGCATAACAGACTGCCCCACCATAGTGGATAACTACCTTCTATTTGGCAGGCAGAGTGCGGGATCACATCTCGCAGCAAGCGCCGCAAGCGCAGCAAGTAGCATGGCATGTGGCAGGCTTGGAATTGCGAACACATCATTAGATGCTGTCCGGAGCCAAGCTCCTTGACACTGCTGTTGGCTGTTGCGATGATGCAACCTGCAGTCCTTTGGCACCAAGTTATGTGAGCCGGAAATCTGCGAAGCCTTCAGTGCTCAGCGCCTGACGCAAGGCTGCAGGCTGGACCATACATCAAGAGTTCTGACCTTCTGTCCGCTGTGAAGCGACAGGGAAACCAGACTTCCTGGAGACTTGGAGTGCAGGGATCCTCAGTCCATAGCATGAAGTGTACTCAGCACTCTCACGACGCGTTTCTCAGGCCTGGCCATGCAGTTGCCAAAGGCCATTTGTATGCCCCCTGCATCTGCAAGCTTTCTAGCGTCTGCTGGAACTGGATCGTGGGGACAACCTGAGTCCATGCAGGTGCTGCCGCAGAACTCTCCATGCCCATGGTTGCGGCTCGGCAGTGAACGGCTTTTGAAGTTGTTTGGCAAAAGTGGGGTACTTGGCACAATTAGGAATCATTCCGGCGAAGTCAACATCCTGGAATGTACCAGTGCCCAGCAGCCACAAAGTCTCAGCTCCTGCATTAAACCATCGATTGACAATTCATCAGGTTTGAATGGCCATCGGTGCGACATCGTCAAGGAGGGGCCGCGCGCCCGATGGAATGCTCGACGTTCTGATCTCTAAATCTATGCCATCTTGTAGCAGGGTTGAAGCTGGAACACAATGCTCCGAGCAGCATAAGGTGGTACTGCTGTGAAAATCATCGTGGCCGTGCAAAATGTCCAGCCGAAGTCCCTGTCATGCCACTTGGTGAAACTGAGGGCAAGAGTCAGATTGTGGGTATGAGTGGCAGCTGGGTTGGTAGCAAGATCATTTGTGTCGCCAGCTGCTCCTAACTGCTTTTCTGTAAAATGTGTTTAACAGCATGCTATTGAGGGGCTTGGATTTGTGTTTGAAAGTCATAAAGATCCCTCCAATTGGATGCAGAGCTGACGAGATGTATCAAGATGTGCAGGTGCGACACTCTTTGCTCTGGCATCACCGAGTACTGCTGCCGCGAGGACCAACAGACTCCGGGCCTGACTTTCCACGTGCCGATGCCGTAAAAGCCATGTGCCGCATATCCGTGTGGATGGACGAACCTTCCTGGAGCGGGGAGGGGTGAGAAGAGGGGCCCGGCCCCCCTGCAAATCTTGTGAGGGTGGCAGGGCGCAAAACAAGTTGCGAGGCACAGAGCACGCACTTCTCATCGCTGTCCCCTTTGATACTCGCTTGTAGGCTTTTGCTTTTGGTTCTGGTTGGATGGGCTTAGGGGAAGTTGTCGGGAAGCAGGTTGTGGGACAGGCTCGTGCTTGCGATCACTTGACGGTCGCCAAGACCAAAGCAAGCAGCTGGACACGCAAGAGCGAAATTTGGTGGTGTCCTTTCGTGTCGCGTGGCAGGAGGGCGAATGCACTCCACGAGTCCGACGCTGAGAGATGTGGATCTAAGCTTGGCACGCTCAACGTGAAAAAGGCGAATGGTAGATCTATGCCAAGGGATGCCCTGTTATTCTTCAGCGAGACCTGCTCTACAGAGTGGAAACCACAACGGAGACCACAACCACCCCAGAAGGCACTGCCCACAGCATCATTTTTTGCTTTGTGCTGTTGGTGCTACTTCCAGCTGTTGAGTGTCTGAAGTCTGTACTGCTGGCTGCTTGCGTGCAGGAGTTCTACTGAGCTCTGTCTCTCTCCCTCTCTCTCTCTACGTCTCTCTTTCTCTCTCGCGGTGCATCTCTGGAGTTCCTGATCTAGGTGTGCAATTGCACGTCCACGCGGCTGGGCCCGGGGGATGGCTCAACATGTTCAACATTTCGATGAACCACGAACGGCACAAAGCATAAAGCAAGAGAGGGAGGAACAAGATCCAGGATCGTGAAGGAAAGCTCGAAGGAGAGGAGGACAATCAAAGGGAAATGGACAGGTCCTGCGCAGTCAGTGTCTCTCACATGGTGGCAACCCAAAAGGCTGAGGAGGCGGTCAGATTGTGGAGAATTGTTGTGTAGTGCACGCGTGCACCTAGTGACAAGTGTAAGCGTTTCTGCATGTTCGGTTGTGCAGTTTGGGCAGTTCGCTCGTACCGAGCAGTGAAAGCGAGCGCCCCGCAACATAGATTCTCAGCAACATAGATTCTCAAGGAATCTTAGTTCGTACAGTTTTTAGTTTTGTTCGCAGCCATGTCGAGCCCTAACGAGCTGCGAGAAGCACTACGTTCGCTGGCTGAAGCCAACACCGCGAAGTTGGAAGAGATGCTCAGGTGGGCTCCAGTACCCTACAGGGTACAGCTGCAGCGAGCCCTGGCACGGACAGAGCCGGTCGCGCAGCCTGCACCCCCTACATCGAGTCCGCCTTCAGCTCCGTCGCAGCCTACCTCGAGCAGTTCGCCGAGCACGACCCCGGCAAACGAGCTCTACGGCGACCGCTGCCGTGGCGAGTTCCAGTTCGTGCTTGGCCCCACCGATGGCGAGTTCGCAGCCGCCTCCTGTGAAGGCAAACTCGGCGCCTTTGGCGAAAGGGACGTCGAAGTGACCGCCCCAGGTGGTGCTCCGTCCGTCAGAGCCTGTGCAGCCGAGCTCGCCGAAGATGCACTCAGCAGCGGCAGGAGCTCCGCAGCCAAAGTTGGGCGTGCCGCGGTTGCAAGAACCGTGTCGCAAAGTGTCGGGGGTCCCCTGATCAGCCCGAACCCGTGTTGGGGAATCCCCCCTCAAGGTGCACAACCTAAAGCCGACACGCGGACCTCCAGTTCGCTCAGGTTCAGGCATGTCCCGCACCCGTGTCGGGGAACCCCCTTGCACACCCAGGCGCAAGGTCCACAGGCCCCAGCACAGGTCTCTAGTTCGCAACAGATGGCAGCAAGCCCAGGACAGTCAGGCCCTCAACCCGTGCCAGGGAATCCCCCGTTCGCAAGGACAATCGCCCAAGCCGGCCAGCAAGCAAGCCGCAGCCCAGCACCGAAGCTTGCCCGAACAATGCGGGCACCGTTCGTAATGGGCCGCCGGCCCTCCGAGCGCAAAAGCCAGTTCGCAACAGCAGGCACCGCCCCAAGGTCAGCGCCAGGTCCAGGTCAGGTGGCGGGAGGTTCCTGGGTCCCTCAGACCCCACAGACCCAGAAGGTAGGCGCCACTTCTGAGAGTGACCCAGCCGCTTGTTCTGGGAGGACCGCCACAGGTCGCAGCCGCCACAGGTCCAGAGCACGTCCGCGCCTCAGCTGTGCCATTGAACTCTCAAGTTGGCCTCCAACCAGCGCGGCTGCCCAAGGAACGGGCGCGCAGTCCCAGCCGCTTCGGGGACACAAGGCCAGCCGGCAACAAGCGCAGCGCAGCAGGGCGAGCCAGTTCAGGGCCGCCGTTCGCGCCGTGACGACTACCCGGCGTCAAACTTGCCCGCCTGGGCGCCCGCTAGATGCCGCAGAACAGGCCAAGTGTTCGCCCTGCAGCCACCGCCTTAGGGACCACCGCATTAGTACTAACTGCAGGGGACACCGCAGGTCGCGCTCGCGCCACCTGTGTGAGCTCTGCAGAAAGGAGACGGACTAGTATAGGGGCCGGCTATAGGCTTCTCCTTACCTCGGGTTTCCCCAGTTTTCCCTATTGCCCCGGTTTTGGTTCGCTCGGGGGTCCAGGGACGTGGGGTAATTCGGGGGTGCGTTCAGGGTCGCCGGTCCCCTACCGAAGCAGCCAAAAAGAGGAGCGCCGTAGAGTGTGCGTACGCACAGGTTGTAGCTGCAGCTTGTCCGTTTGAGTGCTGTTACAAGGGTAACGCTGTGTGCAGTCATGTTCGCGGGCGGTGTTGTAGCTGTATATAAGAAGTCGGGTTCGTGGCGAATACAGACAAGGGCTGCAGTACTGCAGCAAGGAAAGAACGCATTCGTGCGACCCACTGGCTCAAAAATTGTTGAGATGTGGCACCTTAACACGAAGTTGCCGAGGGACTCCTTCGGAGCTTGGTCGAGGTACTGGCGGATGCCAAGTGTTCGCACTGCCTCCCCGCCTTAGGCACGGCAGGGATCAAGTCCGCAAGACAGCTAGAGGACGTGGACAGGGCACAGGTTCGTGCCGTCCTAGGGGATGTGGGCACGGACAAACCGTTCGCACCTAGAGCCTTGCTTCGGCCAGCAGCACGGAGCGACGTACCAGTTGTGCACCCGTATGCCCGAGGTTCGCTCCAGAGAGTTGGCCTCTCCAATGACGGGGCGCCACTAGACATTGACCTGGACAAAGCGGACACAGAGTTCGCCCTTGATAAGTTCGCCAAAACTTCAAGGGCACCTCGAGAGTCCAGGTGGACTACGTGGAAGAAGATGGCCAGTTCGCGCAGCCTAGACCCTGTCCCACTTTCCGTGGACCTGATAGACAAGGTTGGCTCCATACTGCTCGATATCGTTCGCCTGCGCAATATTATGCCATCGCAAAAGAGAAGCACGTGCAGCAAGGGTTCGCCCGAGTTAGAGTTGGCTAGGAACCAAGCTATTCGCTCAGTGCTCAGGGGAGTTGGCCCCAGCGAGCCCAAGTTGGATCTCGAAATCGACAAAGCCACCGAAAAGTTCGCGGACCAGATGGCAGCAGCCTACAACCAGCTCCAGCAGCCAGAGCACGTTCGCCTTCCTCACCCGGCAGAGACCGCGACAGCAGCAAGCTGGTTCCTTCTTCGAGGCGTCGAGGTGCCAGCGTCACCTGCGCGGATGTCTCGTCTCGCAAAGAAGGACGAGCAGTCACCCTCCGCCTGCCAGTCAGCAAGACCGACGTCGAGGCCAAGGCTGTGAGAGAACACACGTGTGCATCTGCAACCCGGTGCATGCAGCAGGCTGCCCAGCCGAGACACGCCCGGCACTTATGTTCACTCGCTTGCAAAAGTGCTCTTGTGCGCACGGGAGAGCCCCGCTGTGCGTCTTCCACGCCATGATGCGCATCGTCCTCGACCTCCGCCTGCGCCAGCAGTTCGCCCCGGAAAAGTTTCTGTTCGGTAACGAAGGGGCCCCTTCAGTCAGACAGGTCAGCGCCCTGGCCCAGTCCGCAGCATTTGCCCTACAGGAGCAGTCCCTGTTCGAGTGGGGTCCAAAAGCAGTGGAGAAGTGGGCGCAACATTCCTTTCGGGTTGCGGGGACCCAAATGTTCGCCCGGGCCAACATCCCTTTGCCAACCATACAGGTCATTGGCAGATGGGTCTCGGCCGCCATCATATGAGGTACGTCCAGAACTCCGTGTCTGTGCCGGAGCGCAGACAGTCCGAGCATGGTCATTGTCCGCTACGCCAGCAGCGGCCAGCGCATCCACCGCCACAACACCTAGCTCAGTGCCCCCCATCCGAGGTCTGGACCATAGTCCGCAGAGTGGTCGCTGAGGTCTGGCAGCGCAAGGCAGTCTTCGTGCGCAACCCACGCAGCCAGTTCGCACACAGGCCTGCCCCTTCAGAACAAAGCCTCGCAAGCGAGCATTGGATCTCCTCCTGCGGCAAGCGGCGCTACGGCAAGTCGAACTGCCTCAGACATCTTGTAGTTTTGCCCGGTTTCCAGAAGTGTGCAAAATGCTTTTCAGAAGACCCTGCTGCGTCCGCAGATTCTCCGGATGAAGACAGCTCCGCATCGAGTTCGTCGAGCAGCTAAAAAGCACAAGTGGGAACTTGGGCAAGTGCATCTTGTTAGAAGCAGTCAACTGACAGCTAGGGTTGGGGTCCGCGGACGCAAGTTACGAAGAGTACTCTTCGCAGTTTTGGCCACTCTTGCGTAGTCTGTGCACGTTCGCCAGGTCCGCAGCCATGTGGTGACGGGAGCCCCCTCGACAGCGCCTTCCCTGCCCCACTTGGCGAAGCTGGCCGCTGACAGTGCCCTGGACCAACAGATCCTGGACTTCCTGCAGGATAAGGGCATCCAGTCGTCCGGCATCTTCTTTCACATGTTCGCCCAACGCGAGAAGATAGCCAAGTTTCTCGAGCCGCTGGCCATTGGCGTGAAGCTCAATGGCACAGACGTCAAGAAGGACGTCACGCAGCTGGCAGTGGCGGAGGCCACCTTCGAGCATATGATGGACGAGCTGACCGTACTTCGCAACCAACAGTTGGCCACGACAACACATGCAGCGCCTTCAACGCCGATGCCAGCTACTAGTTCGACAACAGTGGCCGCGGACCCGACGAAGCCCCTCAAGTCGCTTCCCAAGGGCTACTGTGCACAGGTGGTGAAGGACTTCGAGGCCGAGAAGGTCGCAGGCGTTAACAGGGTTTTCCCTGTCAACCTCAGGAGATACTGGCCCGTATGGTCCACGAGAAGATGGTGTCGGGCCTTTCCTCCCCCATTAAGTTGGGCAAGGTGATGTCCTGTCGCCACTTTACACCGTCAGGCCAGGTCAACCCCTGGAACCGTTCGGACACGGACCGCGTCTGTTGACGGTGATCGATACCTTCGAGTCCGTGAAATGGGCGATGATTTTCGCCACGTGGGGCAAGGAACCAGACGTGGTTCGCTTCTGTGACTTAATTCATCAACATGGTTCGCGACAACCCGAACAAGATCCCTCAGGTCCGCGAGTACTACAAGAAGACCTCGTGGGACTTCGCGATGCATATGCGCTCCGAACACACGTTCGAGTCTGGAGTGGACAAAATCCTCCAGTCGCCCGACAAGCACGATGCCCTCGCGAGGTGGCTTAAGGCAAAGGCCAGAAAGGAAAGGGCCAAAGGTTGCGAGACCCGCCCGTATGGGGGGAAATGCAAGTGGCGCACACCGTTCGCTCCTGTGCCGACTCATCCTGGCGCACAGGAAAGAGTGCCGCTTGTAGCCACAGGGCTTCTGCAAGTTCGGAGACAAGTGCAAGTTCGCCCACGGACCGGTCCTCCCAACACCGCAGCCGCCTCTGCTGCAGCAAACGCGGACAGCTCGGATCGTCCGCGCCGCCCGGGCGACACCTGCCACTCAAAACCAGGTCCTGCAGTTTTCCACCACTTCCCCCCCCTACTAACCCGTGTCAGACCCCGTGCCCTAACCCGTGCAGGTTCCCGTCACAGGAGCTCTAACCCTAGCCTTTTTACGGTTCCCTGTACCTGAACAGTCAAGGTGGGCAGGCCTGGCACCGAGCTTGACCAGCCAGCTCAACAGCAAGAGCGCGCTGGGCAGCCAGCCCCGACAACAAGGTCGCAAGCCCAGGAGCAGGCGCCGCAGCGCAGGGGCAACCGACTCACGCAAGGCCAGAGCTCGTGGCGTCGGGACTGGTCGCCGTCCCATCTCTCCTTCTTCGGAATGTCGATGAGGACTGTTTGAGGACAGTTGCAAAGAGACATCCCAAAATCGTCCAGTGGGGAGACGTGTCTCGTCCGCGGCTTTGGTGGTCCGATAGCATCACTCCACCCGAGGTCAACGCCCAACACGTCCCCACCGTGATGTCGGGCATGGCCAGGTGGCAAAGGTGAAATAGGCAGTGGGAGCTGCTACCCAGTTCGCCGCGGTTTCCCAAGCAGCTTGCCTCAGCTTGCAGCATTGCCACTTTCCACAACCTTGTAATTCCCTGCTTGACAACCCCGTCGCCAACAGCAGAGGCGAGGCCTGCCCCTCCCAAACGCAGGAAAACGGAGTATGAGGAGACTCTGCAGCGGTGGCGCCAAGGGGCCAGCAATTTCCCCCATGGCAATACCGCGCCGCTGCACTGCTTCGCAATAAGAAATCGTCTCAGTGGGACACACCGTCCGCAGCATCTTGCACGACTTCCCGGCAGGATATACAGAGAGTTCGTCAGAACGCGCAATGCTAGGCAATTCCTGGCATCTTCCCACATGTAGATTTCTCTTGTTCGCCATCCTCATGGCCAATCAGGCCATCTCCTTGCAAGCAACAGGGCCAGAAATCTGGTATCCAGCAGTCCCAACTCCCTCACTCGAAGTTCGCTTTCACCCGGACGGCTCCCGCCCGGTGTGTCGCACGGTCGCCTTCTGGCGACGCGCTGGGATCCAGTGGGATCCAAACGAGCCTCCTCAGCCCATCTGCGTCCGCCAGGTCTAGACGAGGCATCGCGCTTCCGGTGGGCCACTTCACTACAATGGCTCGACCTCTTCCCCATTAACCTCAACCCGTGTTTGCAGTGGGCCATGGACATGCAGCATCACATGGGCCCAGCCCTGGCGCAGTGGCGAGAATCAGCCCGCCAAGACGATTGTGCAAGAACTGTCCAAGGACCAAGAGTCTTGGATGGCGGAAGCCCCGCCACACGTGTTGAAGGTTTACCAACAAGGGTCAGGCAAGAACATAGTTCAATTGTTCGTGATGGCCCACCTTCTTCAGCTTTTCGCATTTCCGGAACACCAATCCCTGGTTCGCGACCTGTTCTACGGTTTCCCCCTACTAGGCCCTTTGCCGCCAGGAGCTTGCTGGCCAACACGACAGGCTTCCAAGTACTCCTCACCCCTCACCATCGACAGAGCAGCAGTTCGGCTGTTTCAACCTGGAACATGTCCGCCAAGCCCTGCGCAACCCCAGATCATCAGATCATGAGGCGACACTGCGTGCCGAGGTTGAGGGCGAAGCCAAGAAGGACAGGTTCGTGGGCCCTTTTAGCACTTCCTGGCTGTTTGAGAACGCGGGCCCCTTGGGTCTTCGAGCCGCCCGGGCCTTCCCAATCGAACAGCAAGGCAAGGTTCGCAGAGGTGACGACTGGCTTCGCTCAGGTGCGGGCACTCAGACCACCATCGCCCAATTGCGACACGCAGCAGCGCATGGCCAGCCTCAACTGTTCGCAGTCGACCACGAGGGAGCGTGCAGAAGCGGTTCGCAATCCCTCCGAGTGCTGCACCGTGGTGCCGCCCATTCGGGAGCTCGGGTAGCGTATATCCGGGTCGCAGATGCCCTCTGTTTCCTCAGCATTGTTCTCCTGTGGCTGGCAGCAGCCTACTTCGTTGCCGACTTCTTCGGTTGCGAGGACTGCAAGTCCTCAGACACAGGGTTTCAGGGTTTTCAAGGGATCCACAGGTCCACGGGATACCAGATGAAAGAAGCAAAAGCAAAGCCACCCTCCGCCGACATCACCCTGCTGGGAGTCGACTGGAGGATACGGGAAAAGTTCGTGCACGCCTCCCCGGGAGCCACACGGATCGCAGAGATCCGCCACACCGTCGCACAGGCCTTGCGCACAGACTCCTTGACGTCCGCCGAGTCGGCCAAGCTCGCAGGCAAACTAAGCTTCGTCGCATCGTGGATGTTCGGAGCAGTGGGAAAGGCTTTCCTGCGACCGTTGTTTGTGAGACAGCATTCCTTGCCAGCCTCCCCTGTGGGTTTAAGTAGGTCGCTTAGATGCTCCCTAACCTGCCTCCTTAAGGTTTTAGATAACCTGAAACCCGTGCAGATACCCTTGCAGCCTTCTTCGGTCGCCATAGGCATACTTTACGCAGATGCTTCACTGGAAACCGCAGGGCAGCCAACCAGTGGCTGCAGGAGAGGTGCTACAAGCGGCGGACAATGGTTGGGGAGCCACCTTCAGTTCGCCGTCAGGCAGAAGGAAGGTGCTTCAGGTCGCAAGTACCGCAGAGGATGTTCGACGAAGTGGTGACCTCGAAGGCGTTCATCTTCTGGCTGGAAATTCTGGCCCAAGTGTTCGCAACAGTCGCTGGGCAGCCGAGCCAGGGCATGCACCTACTGTGCTTCTGCGACAACGTAGCGGCGGAACACGCCCTGAGGAAAGGATACTCCAAGGACGATAAGTTCACCAAGGTGCTCGCATGCTTCTGGTCGTGGGTGGCCTCTCGTTCGGTGTCGCTGACATTTCACAGGGTCTCCTCAAAGGAGAACTGTTCGGACGGGATCTCCCGTGACCAATGGGATTTTGTGAACCAGTTCGACTTCTGCAGAGTCGAGCCCGACTTCTCTGAGCTGTACCGGTGGCTGGCCACCGTCGAGGACACCAGCTTGGACGTCCTGGTCGACACGTTCGCCGAGACCGCCCAGTCCGTCTCCGCGCACCAGAGTGGAGAACAGCGCGCGGAAGTGGCTTGAGTCGCGCTGTTCGTCGGATGCCAAGCGATCTACTGTTCGCTGGATCCGGCGGTTTTGAAACCAACCTGAAGCTTGGACGTGGTGAAGCTGGAAAAGAGTTCGACTGAGCGTGCGGTAGGTCAGGGCGAATAAGTTCGCCATAATGCCTGAATAGCTGCACTTGTCGTGTAGTGCACGCGTGCACCTAGTGACAAGTGTAAGCGTTTCTGCATGTTCGGTTGTGCAGTTTGGGCAGTTCGCTTGTACCGAGCAGTGAAAGCGAGCGCCCCGCAACATAGATTCTCAAGGAATCTTAGTTCGTACAGTTTTTAGTTTTCCCGCCTCACCCACCCGGGCTTGAGTCGCGCTGTTCGTCGGATGCCAAGCGATCTACTGTTCGCTGGATCCGGCGGTTTTGAAACCAACCTGAAGCCTGGACGTGGTGAAGCTGGAAAAGAGTTCGACTGAGCGTGCGGTAGGTCAGGGCGAATAAGTTCGCCATAATGCCTGAATAGCTGCACTCATCCCAGACTTTTTGTCGGAGGCCTTGGCGCTCGTCACATCACTCCTTTACTGCGTTCACGCTGACACGTAAAAGTTTGATGTGTGTGTTTGTGTGTGTCCTCGGGTTTTGGCCCCTGGCCGTGAAGCGTGTGGTAGGTCGGGCGAATGTGGAGCAGGATGGCTTCAGCATACGCCTCCCAGAGGGACCAGACGTCAGACATCCCATGCAGGACGACACCACACCTTAAATATGTGTGCAGGAAGTTGGGTGTGGTTACTCCTGCTCATTCCCTTGCTCTGCGGTTCTGGTCCCAGTCTTCCCGCACGTTTGACTTGCCCTTGAAATTGTTAAAGCTGCAGGGATTGGGTTCGTCATCTATGTCCGACGTGATCCCTGGCACGGATTGTAAGCATCGTTTCAGCCGTGCAATTGTGAACGGTGACTGTGTGTGGAGTCTACGACAGGTTTGAATAAGAAATTCGAGTCCGAACAAGTGGGTGAGGGTGAGACGGCCTTGGTGTGCCCGGCGCATTAGCTGCATTATGAAGACCAAGAGTGTTTAGATTTTCCTTTCCAGGGCCTGAAGCTTGACAAGGCAGAGCTCAGCTGCTTCAAACCCTTTGTGCATCTTTTCATTTCTTTCTTGGCAGTTTGGATTCTTCCACGCCTACAAAGCGGAAAACGTGGAAAGAGAAGCGGCCAAGCCATGGGCTCAGCCTCGGCTAGGCCAAACTCCGAAGTAGCCTTAGGAAGTCGTTAGGGATGTCATTGAGGCCACGCGTGTCGATTGTCATGAGCGCTGCGCCCCCAAGCATGGACTGAGTTCGCTGAAGATGACCATCTCAACGGGTTAAGAAGGCATATCTCACTCCAAGGAACTGCCCGAGTCGCGGCCCCTGGGTTTGGAGCTCTTGGAGCTTCCCTCAGTCTCAGTGCTTCTGATTCTCACGATTCACCAGTCTGGAAAGGTCAACCCTTCATTTTATAGCCGCTCATCCCATCGTGCGGCCTGCTTCTGGTTGCTCTTTTACACAGAAACAGAGGACACATGTGCACTATTCGCGCCAACCTTGCGGAACCAAGGGAGATGCAAGACCAGTCAGCAGTACATAACTACTGGGGAAATAGCACCGGAGGAGGGGAATACAAGCGGTTGAGAAGCACACTTGTGCCTGTTCTTTGGCTGGTGCACAAACTCCTGCACGACCCTAAGTATATTATGGTACCATGACATCAAAGGCTTAGGTGCAAAGGGTCACGGAGGATTCCGTGCATCGACGGTTTCTTGCGTGCTTTGGTGTATGGGCGGTGCGGCATTTGAAACGGTAAGCACAATCACTTCAGAAGTAGCGCATTTATGTGCGCAACATTTTAGGCTGAAACAGGTTGCTTTCTGAAATTGCACCTAATGCGCAGCATCTAAAACGGCAGCAAGCTTAAAACTGAAATGGTGTGGCCTTTTCCAATGACAATTGCTGAAGTGCATAACAGTAGCCACAACTAAAATCGATTGCCTTCCCAAAGTGACACTTACTACAGTGGGCTCAGCAAGTGCGCGACCTGTAGGAATGAAATTGGCTTGCAACTAAGAACTGGCACGTTTACCTTAAGTAAGACTGCAAAAGATCTCTGTCTGAGACCCACGGTGGGCGATGCGATTGCAAAATTCTTGAGCGTACACATTCTTCTGTTTGCGGAGATTCCAGAATGACTCTTGTGTTCCTCAAGGTGGAGGATGTACGTTGAGTGTTCGCATAAACTTTTCTCTTGTTGCGAGTTGGGTAGATTCAGCAATGGCAGCTAACACATCCAGAATGCAACCAGGTTGCAAAGAGCAATCACCACGAAATTGCATCAGGTCTGCCAGTGCCCTACAGGTAGCTAAAGGTTAGCTACTCTTGCAAGGAGCTGAAAGGCCCTGGACGCAAGCAAGCTCGAATTCATTTGTTTGGCCGAATTGAATTTAATTCGGGTTCTGTTGGACGGCACTCTTACATCAACGCCAGTGGAGATTGGACAAATGGCTAGTGGAATGTGGCCATCTTCATACAGCGGCTTTTGCAAATGCCAGCAGGCACGATGGTGGAAAACGCGAGGAGCAAGGCTTCTTGCCATTTGCAGTGTTTAGCTTGCAGAAAAGCCATCCCAAATTTCTCTTCGGCGACATGAGTTCGTGGACTATGACCTTTCTGATCTCTTGCTGGTGGACTTTTCAACTACACCTCCAATTTGATTTTTGTCTGCAAACCATGCAGTGCAATTCGGGATGTTGATTCCGTGCTCTACTGCATGCTCTCGATTGGAAAGATTCAACTTGCTCTTCACGCCAATCATTGAGCTCTATGAACTCTCCCTTTGATCCGTCAGACGACCCAAAGGCATCGCTTGGCAGCAATACCTGGCTGCAGTTTGGCCAAAGAGGAGGAGAGCGGATGGCTCGGTCTGTCGCACTGACGGTGCTACGGCTTACCGTAGCTTAACAAGTCCTCTTAATGACGGAACCCTCGCAACATTTAGCCTAAAGGTGTTTCACACAGGCAGAAAAACAAAGCACAAGCTACCGCAAACTCGGCACGCAAGCGGGGGAGCTCAGGGCAACAGTACTTGTATCTCCAGAAGCCCCGCAATTCTCTAATATCCAGTCAGGCACATCGTACATTGCAACAGTTAAGCCAGCTTCTCACAGGGAGCAATGCCATAATCTATGCACACGTACCCATTGGACAAGGGAGTAGGGGACTGCAATTCAGTACTTCTATGTGAGGCAAGAAGAATGGCAGGGCAACATCTTTTCTTTCGAAGAGGTCAGTGAAAGATATCCCCATTAGAGCAGAAAGACGTGAGGACAAATGACCGCGGAGCCTTGGAGAAGAGAGACGGCACTTTCCTCTCATGTTATGATGTGCGAGGCCCTTACAAAACAACAGATTCGTGAAACCAGCAAAACTGGACAGTCTGAAATCAGAACCAAGTAAAACAACAAGAAGCGCAAAAGGAGAAAAAAAAAGTGAGGTAGACATTTCAAAATACCAAATCAAATCGAACAAACACGAACAACAATCTGGATAACATCGAATCGAAATCAAGACCAAATCGCCGAACAAATGAACACATGAAAAACAGTCATTTTTGGAGAGACTCTTTTTTGATGGCATTGCGACTTTACGTTGATTTCATTTTACTTTACAGTGTTGCTGTCTGAAAAGAGTTCGTGCGTCCGAATCTGCACGCCTGTAGAAGGTTCAAGCGAGGAGGTACGAATAGAAAGAAGGGTTTCTTTATTTGACGGCTGCTGGTATGTGTGCAGGTTTCAAGAGCAAAGGAAATCACAAGACAAAATCACACAAAGCCCCACAGTTTAACACTCTGAAGTGCCCCGTTTCCACGCATCAGAGCGAGCAGGCAACTGCTTGCAGGGCCAGCATCCAAAGAGCTTCTGACCTTCCTGCTCAAACCAACATTCCAAAACGCAAGAAACAAGCCGTGCGCAAGTGCTTTTTATCAAAAAGCGGCCAGAAGCCGCGGCATCAGCTGCACCGGATCAGACGGGATGCTGCTCTGGGGAGTAGTTCCAAACTCTTCATTCAGAAGATTCCATTCAATTACATGTTCAAGCCTTGCATCAGATACCATACCTGGAGATTCTCAGGAACTTCGAGTGGTGCGTGTGGAGCCCTTAGGTTTTGCGTTGTGCAGATGCTATGAGTTGTCAGGATGGCAAATCTGTAGCCCTGAAAGCCATGTTTAGCACAGCTGGCTTTGAGGCTGCACGTAGTAGTAGGCTCTGAAATGAAGCAAAGCCTGAGCTGTGGTTTCTTGTCCTAAGCTTGTGTGTAGCAGGAGGCGATTGATCAGATGCCCTAAGTTCTTAGTTCGGGGTCTAGGGCGGCTGCTTTGCAATGCCTCCCTATGCTGTGATGGTAAAGCTCTAGGCACGAGACCTTGGCAGGTGCATCCTTGGGGTGCCAAACATGGCTGGCAGGTGCCACACCCGTTGAAGGTACAGGCGAGGTGGTTGCGTTAGACCTGTCGCGAAGAAGGTGGGCGACATCATCGTGGACATCGCTGGACAACCGGCACGACACTCCTGGGCATCCCCAATTAAATGACTTGAAAGACGCAGTCTTTCAAGGTTAGCTCTTTTGAGCAGCTCTGGGAGCGCATTCAGGCCAAGAAACAGCTGAGCATAAGGCGCATCAAGACACTGTGATTTGTTTTTGCCTTTCTGCAGGTGGAAAGAAACCGCCCACCTGTGAGATTCACAGTAGAGCGCTGGAACGTCATGACGACGGCAGAGGTGGAAGTCAGAAAATCGGAGGGAACGTGCTGGGTGGAACATTGCAGGAAGAGGCAGTGGCAGACCTCCAGGATCCAGACTTGCAGATCAAGAGGCAGAAGAAGCAGGTGGAGGAGGCGAGTCCTTCTTGCGCCGGGCGCTTTGCACCTGTAAAGTTCAGCTGCGGCCTTAGGATCGGGAGCAGAGGTGGGGGCCCCAGTGGGGTAACTGAGAACTTGCCCTTAACAATTCGGTCAAGATGGAGCTTGCTCAGTGCAGGTCCAAGTCTCGCATCTCCAGCAAACAAATACCTGCCAATACGATGTCATAAGCCTCAGAGGAAAATGATTGGCCGCTAGCCGGTTCGACGCACTGATCGGATGGAGCCGAGGGAGAAGGCTGCGACCTTTCCAAGAACATTGGGGCCAAATGTGCAGAACTTGGCATGTTTCATGATTCGTGCTTTGCTGCTCTGTTCAAGCCCTAGGCCTTGCCTGGCATGGCGTATGGATCCGCCCTTACAAGAACCAAGGGTGTTACACGTCGTGTATCAGGACTGCTGGATCTCAAGCCAGGGTATTCCTGAAAATCTTCCACATGAACCACACTCCAAGAACAACACTTGCACTGAGGCTGGGATGACTACGGTGAGGAAGAGGACTCTCAAGTCGTCGTGCAGTCGTGCAATGGGAAGAGCATGACTTCTCATGCCTGAAATCCAAGGAGGAGGAGTACGAAGAGTACTCTGAATACTCTGATGACGACTTGCGTATTCAGCTCGGCTGTGACAACCTGGAGTGGGATTCAGTAGGACTCAGAAAGAGCCATGCCATGCGCTGCAAGGCATGCAGCAGTCCACGACTTCAAGCTTTCCAACAGGGAGGTATAAGTCCGGTGCCCACATGCTACCTGAAAGCTATTTGCTCCAGCAGAATGCAAGGTCCCGCTTCGCCGCCAACTTTCAGGTCCGGATTGTTCTGCTTGGGATTATCGGGCGCCTTCAAGTGGCATTCATTTATATGATGGATGCTAGCGGCAGGTCATTAAGAGAGAAACAGCGGAGAAGCATGCGCAGAATGCAGGGGCACTTGGTGATGTTGAGGGCTACTGGATGTGATGTTTTGCGGAGCTTCTAAGGAGCCACCCAAAGAAGGTGAGTCCAAAAAGGAGGGCGAAGGCGCTGATTCCAAAGCCGGTAACTTCTTCCCAAGGGATGTGGAGCGCACGCTGCTCATGGTGCGATGATTTTCCGATGGTGATGCCTGGCCTGCTTGATGTGTGCTGCTGAGCCCAAGGCCGCACGTACGAGAAGAACAAGGTGGTATTCACCCGGGATGCACAGCACTAAACTGGATTTCCACCTGCGGCAGTGCCCGTAGCGCTTTCTTTGCTGAGGCCTGGGGCCGCTCAGTGGTGAGGGTAATGAACCCAACACATTAAAAGGGTACTCGTGAAGTGGGAGCCTGGCCTCAGCTCAAAGCTGACATCTGGGCATCTTGCTTTCAGTGCATGTTTTTCCTGAGCCTGAAGGCTCAACTTTCCCAGATGGGTGGCAAACATATCACCTCGATGAAGCCCTGACGTATTAGGACTGATTTCTTGCTGTCCATTTGGATCATGGATCTGTTAACGACAGCCTTTGCCGCAAAGCGGGGGAGGACTGTTTCCACAGAATTAGATCGCACTCCACATCATGAATTAAGTTTTCTCTTGCTGGTATCGAGACCCCTCTGAGCGTGTTTAGACCGGAGTTGGTGCAGCAATGCTTCTGATGCATTCCTTTTGGCTCACAAGAAGTTGGGAAAAAAGACCGCTTAGTCTAGGTGAGTTGTTGGGGCTGTTTCAGGAAGCCTGGGTTGCGTGTGAAGCTTAGAGACTCAAAGCCACCCGCTCTTTGCCTCCAGACATCTTAATTCCCGGAGGCGATGGTGAGCTCAGACGAGGAGGTGCTCATAGATTTCTGCATTCTGTGCCTCATGATTGACATTTGTGTGACTTGATAAAGCCGACTGCCAGGCTGGCCTCGTCAAGAAGGATGCGCCAACTGACGGGAAGGAGCCGAGCGACAAGTTCAGTTCGAGCATTTGGGGCATTGAGCTGTGCGGTATCAGCAGGACCCTCTTGATCCTAAGAATGATCCCGATCTCGTTGCTTGGCTTGCCTGTCAAGGGCTGCTCGCAAAAGATTTGGCATTGATCCAGCAGCAGATGCTCAGGTCACAAATGGAGGCAAGTCGCATGCTAAGTCGCTGAGCCTCCAGCTGTTCAGAAGCTAGGACAGCTAGGAAAAGTCTTATGCTGTGTCTCATGCTGAATTACTGAAGGTTCCAGTCCAAGGTGGCCATCCTGCAAGTCACGTGGAGGCGCCTTCAGAGATGCCCCCATTTCACCACATTCAGCATTTTCCAGCATTTGTAGAGTGTTTTTCATGATGTTTGTAGCAGGTTCCCGGTGGACCCAGATCCGCTCAACATTCTGGCGCTGATATACGGGTCTCCTGCCTCATATGGAGATCATGGCTTTCAGGGACTGGCCATCACTGCAAGTTGAAAATGTTGGCATTTGAACGCATCCGAAAATCCTGCACATGTGGAAGTGCTTGAATGCCTGTAAAACGTCAGGTATCTCCCGTTCGTGGTGCCTGTCGTGCTTGGAGCTCAAGTGCAGCGAGAGTGGGTGTCTGGTCTCCATGCAAGCAACAATGTCTCTGACTTGGCAGGTTTTTTGTGGACATGCTTGTGGAGTGGCGTTTCATTGCTTTCTACGGGCTTGCAGCGGCCTCAGCGTTTAATTCTGTCAGGCTGTAACTGTGCTTGTTCTGCACACTGCCTCCTGTCTTGCATGCTGTAAATAGAAGCAAAACTTAAAAAAGAAAACAGTTCACAGGGAGGGCGTGTGGGCTTTGTTAAGAAATTTTGTCCGCAGTCTTGTCCACGATTCCTGTCCTGATGTATGTTTCTAATGTGTGTCCTTGCAGCGGACCTTCATGTCTTTGTCGCAGAGGAGCGAGGGGATCAGGAGGAGATAGAGGATGGAGCGACTAAGAAAGGAGCAGGCGAGGAAGGAGTGGGGGAAGGCATGTCGTGCCTTCGTCACATGCCTTTCGTAGTGAGGCTAGGTGACTCGTGACTACATTGCATTTGTGGATTCAAGGCCCTATTCAAGTGCTACTACTGTCAGACTTGACGTGGGTTCTGGGAAGTTGAGAACAAGTTTATCATGCTTAGATAGATTTATCAGGAGTGTTTAGAGATGGTTTTAAGTCTCTAGCCAGCGCTTTAGCGGGCAGGCCCACTGGCTTCGAAGATGGCTTCAGTGAGGTGTTGAGTTTTGGACCAGGGGCCAACGGTGATGACGCATCCGCATTCGTCACGATAGCATACAACGGCCTGGAAAATTTCGACAACCGAAATGCGCGAGAGAGCCTTGAAAGGCTTTATGAGAACTGGCTTAGTGTGGATAAGACGCCGGCAGGACATGAAGCATGCTGGAGAGAGGACCCATTTTCTGACAACCACAGGTCACCTCAGCAGTGGTGACGCTCTTGAATGAGGCAGTGGGTGCAATCCTGCAACAGAAAGTGGCGTGGAGACTGAACCAGGTAATTTTCAAGCCAATCCTGAAGCAGCCTCGCCCTGAAGGGTCTGCCAATCGCAAGTCCGACGCTCAGCGCGGACTAAGATTCCATTGCTTCCGCTTCCACCCGCTTGCCTGCAACATTTGCCCAGGTTCAACGATAAGACTGGAAAATGGGAAATGAAGCCCGGCATGCCGTCTGGGCATGTTGCCAATGCTGCCACAACGATGGTGCGGGGCTCGGCCGACAAGTTCTTCGTGCAGCGGGCAGCGCACCAGATCGGCATGTTGAGGTGTGGTGTCTGCTCGAGGTCCTCCAAAAGCAAGCTGTACAAAGCGTTGAGTGCACTGCTCTGCCAGCCATGCACAGGTCGCTTTGCGAGGCCCAGTCTGCCCAGGATTTGCAGAGCTACCTCTGAAACGCAAGTTTCCGATCCAAAGACACGCATGAATCCTTGACAGGTCCTGGATTTGACGACCAGCCTTTTCTCACCACAAAGATCCTTTTGCTGATCATAGTTTGCATGGGACCCGTGACAGTCTCAGGTGGCGTCAAAAATTCCATTAGCCTTCGCACGACTAGCAGATGCTAGCAGCTAGGTGCCCTGGGCCAGAATCCACAACCAGGACCACAGCCGGGCCCTCATGGCATGCCTCGCGGACATACGGGCATCTCCCGTAGCAGCAGTAGCACTCGCAAGAGTCACATGTCAGGCCTGGCCCAATGCACGGTGGCGGGCATCATGGGCATCGTGGCAGGTCTCCCCGAAAGGGACGGATGGCCCGGTTGTTATTCAGTTTGCTTAGTCGCAAGGTGTGACTGCTTACCTCATCCGAGTAACTTACTTCCCGCTTGGAGTGGGGCAGGCCTGGACCTCAGGCCTCACTCAAGGGATGATCATCAAAGTGTCTCGTCCACCTGAGGAATGGTGTTACCAGAGCTTATGTCTAATTGGAGGGAGCTGGCCTTTGTTTTCTGTTTCAAGTGGAGAGTGGTGCTTCTTGAATTCTGCGAGACTGCAGGAAGCCATGGGACCCTTTCGTGGACGGGCCGCAGGCTGGCAGCGAGGTGGTCACAGCTGCCGCCATCACTACAACACTTGCCCAGGCATCCCTTACAATCAAACCAAAGCTGCACTGCAACGCCCAGCAAAACGAAGCACTTGCAAGGATGTCGTCAAAACCGCGGCTACCAATCTCGCAACCGCTCTGAGCCTGCCCTCTCAAGAATTGTCTGCATAACCTGTGGCAGCTGCAGGAAATGAAGCATGGCTGCCTGGCTGAGGCTCCAAGGTCGCAGCAAACAATCCTGCAGACCTCTCTTCAGAAGTTGCCAAAGACACGGCGGCTTTGTCAGAACTAGTCCTACAAAGAGAGTGGAGCTCTTGAGGCTGTGGCCAATGTAGACAAGGCCAAGGGTGAAGAGAAGGCAGCCACCGGATGTTAGCATACCACCACTGAGATTCCGCTCAAACAGCAAGCATTGCACAAAGGACCGGCTGCGCCGACTTCTCCGTGGTTCTGCTTAGCTGGGGCTTCAGGAACCCATCCCGGTGCCATCCCCTACACGCATTGAAGTTCCCAAGCAGCAGGATTGAAGCCTTCCAGGTCGACACGCTGTGCAGCATAATGCTTGCCAGCGCATGCCAGCGTGGGAGTGAGCACCCAGACAACTTCGCAACGAAACAGTTGTGAGTTGCTTGTTAAGTTGGTTGTTAAGTTGCCGGCTCGTGCGGCCGGACGGGCTACGTTACCGTTTTGGCTCTGGGCTGCACAGGCTGGAGGGCTCCAAAAAAAGAACTCTAAGCAGAAAAAAGTTGTTATGTAGCCTGCATTTCCTTTGCAGTCATGGGAAGCTGATGGCCTTGCCATTCTTAGAAAGGGAGGCAGCGCTCGTCGGCCAAATAAATTCAAGATCCCTGCGCTGGTTCCTGCCTGATCCAAAGGGTATCGGCACCATGGGCCAGCAAGTGAAGGGCTCCGTGCAGAAAAGGCACTCTCAGCAAACGTCATATCCTGATCCTCCTTCATGCACCTGAAGTAAGTGCACCTGCAAGCCAAAAGCTGCGGGCAAGTTTTGCTGCATCGCGAGCTTCCTAGCTCCGGCTTCCTCGATGTGAAGTCATCAACAAGCTAATGAGAAATGCCTTAAGCTGGATGCAAGTGCCACCCAACCTTGCAAAGCAAACTTGAAGCAGGCCACTAAGCCACTACGACTTGCAATCCTTTCGCGCTATGAAGTGTCAAATGTCATCGTAGCCAGCTCTGGCAAAGTGGTCAATAGATGCCGCATTGCTCACGGCTATGGGCAGAATGCCATGGAGACGAACCGATTTCGCTGGCCCCCAAACTCAGTTTGGCAGCCTCGGAAGTAGGGCAGCGGCTATCCTGGCCATTTGTGCATGACAAGATTGCTTCAGCGGAAGGGCAGTTTCAGCACAACAAGTTGCTAGAAGATGCTAAGATCCAGGTGGAGAGCGGAGTGACTGAGCAAGCACAACTTAAAAGACCGCGTTCACAGTCCTTGTATCCCGAGTGCTAGAGCTTGGTGAACAACCGGCCAAGGCCTGCTACCCGGAAGCACCCACACCCCCTGTCGCGCGATACTCGCATTTTGTGCAGCTGTGCAGGGACTTGCCTGCTGGCCTCCTATTCTATCCTTGCATTCTTGCATTGTATACTGCGCTGTACATCCTGCATGGGCTGCTACAATTCTGGTAGTATTGTGGACCGTTGCTTTCGAAGGCCGCTTGCTATGACTGTATGGTTGCATTGTGGAACAAAGCTTTTCTCATAGTTGATGGTTTGTTGCATTTCATTGCCAAGCTCATGTCATGTGTTACTTGACTCTTTCCGACATCAGACCTCGATCTCTCGAATACTACTGCGAGCCTTGGAGCCTTAAGTGCTTTGTCAATGTTATGGTGGACTGCAATGTTCATATTCTTCACTACTACTGTGCTGGAGCTCTGACGATTGCTGCGCTCATGTTGCTGGCTCTCCTGCTGTGTTGATGCTATGTACGAACTACTGGTGACCTCTCATTCAATGGGGAGCAGCTCTGGCTGCGGCTCACCGTTCTGGTTCTTTCACGGACTACTGAAACACTTATGTTATCGAGGAGGCTAACCTCACACTTTGAAGGACAGCCATGCTCATGCCATGGTGTGCTCATGTGAAGTCCAGCCCGGCCTCCCGAGATTTGTTTGGCTGTGCATTCAGTGACGATTGGATGTGGCCTGACTGGTTGTGAATGGCCAGCCAGCATATTGTAACGTGGGCTCGGATGGAAGTGCAAGCAGCTTGGTTCTGCTTTCTGATCGGTTGGCTGTTCCTTCAGCAGGATAGCATGCGTGAAAGCTTGTGCTCGTAAGGTCTTTCCTTTGCGTTTGCCGCCTTCTACTGGGCGGCATTAGCCTTCGCCGGGAACTCGCAGAAATGAAAGCCTGGCAGCAGTGCAGGGACCGGGAATGCTGGGACAGGTGCAGTCCGATCTTGCACAGAAGCACCCGGAACGAGGAAGATGCCCGCACACGGTATGCCGGGTATGCTGCCCTCTGTCATCTTTGTGGTAGGAGCGATGCAGCGCCATGGGCTTCAGCGCCGAAGCGGCGGCCAAAGAGTCGGGAATGGCAATTTCAGGGTCCGCGGCCATTGCATGGCACTGCAGGTCCGGTCGACTCCTTTCCAGTCCGTACGCGAGTGGTTGATTGCCGAGCTTCAAGCGGCTTAGCAACTTCGTGATCGGATTTTTCCATCCCTTGAGGCCTTTGACGGACTAGACGACCTTGAGGAGGACAGATCATGCTAAGCTATAGGTCGCCCTCAGAGCTGATGTTGTTTTAACAAGGAGGAGGAAGAAGAGCCACTTGACGTGATCGGAACCGTGCCAAAGGTGGTGGCCTCATAGCCTCTTCAGCGTGTTGCGTGGCCCAGCGGTCGAAAGCTGCCATGCTGCACGATTGCAAGATGAGGATCGGGCGTTGATACCTCGGCCAGTTGGCAGTGGCTTTCAGACTTTAGAAGATCTCCACGGAAAATACAGGCTGGCAGCTGTCAACTGTCATGCCTAGCATCCTCAGACTTGACTTGCTGGGTGCATACTGTTTTGAAATGTCATAGGGGTACCAAAGAGCTCCCCGAACTGGATGAGGAGGCAAGAACCGCAATCTCGGGCATGGAATCCCAGATTCCCCTGTGTTTTTTTGTCAAGGAACTTGAAGAGCTGCACGTCAGCATCCCAGCATCGGGCATCGGGCAGGGCCTGGCAATGTTTTGGCGTCCTAACAAGATCAAATCAGATGCTATTGCCCGAGGTCCTGCTCAAAGACGAGATTACAAGGTGAATATCTGCTACGCTGCCTATGCGTCAGTGTCAATCCTCCATGTGATTTAGCCGCCAGGTGCCCATCCATATCTTCGGTGTCCTGGGCAGCGAAAGTGCTGGAGGAGCTGGAACTCGAAGACCCTCAGCATATCAAAAGAAAGACATACTCTGCATCATGGATTGCAGAAGCTGGAGATTTGATGCCCAGGATGATGATGTGTTCGAAGTGATTGCGGAAAGAGTGGTGGGCCAGGTGGACGAACTCAGCCCGCAGGAGACATCGGATCGCCAGCTTTTCTTGACGTCCCCACATCTGATTGAGGAGACTCTCGATGTCGTACTGAGGCGGGCTCGGAATTGCGCGATGGTTCCCACGGCTGTATGCAAATCATGCAAAGTTGATAGAAGACGCTTAGCAGAGTGTGCAGCTTGTGCAGCTTCGGCGCAATTTACTACAATGATGACGAGCAACGCAGCCATGCTTGAGCCAGCCACCTGCTCTCATGTGTTGTGTTCGTTGTATTCACGCGTTGACCATGCCAGTTTCTTGGAGACGTTGGTGGGTGCGGTTCGAAGACAGATGAAATTCTTCACCAACGCCGAGGTCGAGTTTCTGGGGCTCGTAAAGCAAAACCTTCCAAGAATGCATCAGTCGTGTTGATGCGTCACAATCAAGAATTTCCTCGCAACAAGCAGTCTGCGGCAGGTGGTCAAACTTGCAAATGCTATGTCACGGCTAGGGGGGCTGGATGACACAAAACACGTAGGCCGGGATCTTGTGTCCAGCATCTCTGTTTGTCTCCGAGTCTGTTGGCGTCGTCTGCAAGGCATGTTCTTTGAGATGCGGAAGCGTGTGAACATGCCTCTGATTGACAAGGCTATCAGGCCATTGGCGTTTTTGACCTTGGCCCTTGCTTCTTTTGCTGTGGAATCATGCTCGCACTTTGTAAAGACAGGTCCGTGGCATGCATAGGTCGCGCTTTGGTGCTCAGGCACTTGAGGAAGGGTCTTTCTGGTCAAACACATTGCAGAAGAGTTTTCAAGCCACTTCTAGAATTGTTTCGCGCTTGAAGTAAACTCTTAGACATTTCATGTGCTAATCATGTCCGCTTCGCCGCCATGGCCTTCCGGCCGTTCTCCCGGGGTCAGGCGGTGCCTCAGTAGTAAGGGTCTGAGTCGTTTGAGCTGCCTTGCAAGGTGCCAGGAGGATCCTCGAGGAGTGAGCTTCTTCAGAGCCAGCCTTAATTGGCAGCGTGCTAGCAGTCACCTGGCATATGTGCTCCTCTTCAAGGCTCCTAGCGTCACAGACAGCTGCGACGGAAGCAGATGAAGCACGCAGAGCGCCTTGGATGCTTCTGGAGTGTTCTAGATTTTGGAGCCCCGTGCGCAAGATGTGGCTTGCAATGCCAAGAGCGCTGGATAGAGGCCAGCATGATACTTCAACATGCAGCACATGGTCCCATCATCACAGTGCCCGGGATGCACCGAGTTTTTTGCATGTCTTTAGATGTCTGAAGGCCTTGGCAAGTGATACTTTGCACAAGGCGGCTGACCTGGCGCAGTGCGACGAGGATGCGGCGGATAAGTTGCGTGCATTGCAAATCCTTCAAGGCCACTCAGAAGCAGCAGTCATGCAACATGCAACCATGTGCCCAGTCCTTTTCTGTCTAAGAACCTCAGCCGCTCCACGCTTCTACTTGTCTCTCCAACCCTTAAGCCCTATCGCTGCTACTCCTCCTGCTGCTCCTCGCATTATGGCTGTCAATCTCTGTTTTGCTCAACAAATCTCCTTCCGAGCTGAGACATGAAGATTTCTTCTGCAGCTATGGCGTCCTACTCACTCCAAAGCCAATGGCAGGATAAGCACAGGAACACAAAACTTTCATCCATCCCTCAATCTTGTCGTATCCGTTTGTCCTCACATAGCACAGTGTCGATCAAGGCATTGACAGGAGGTACGCTAGTAAATCTGTGCTCCAGGTGTCCTGGGAGGGCACTCGAAGAAAACGAGCCTCGTGCTGAGATAGTGAGGCATTGCTCTCGCAAGTGTGGTCTAACATGTTGATTTTTTGAACGAAGCCATGTCTCTAGCTGGCAGACACTACAGCATGCAATATCTCGCAATCCTTGCAGCAGCTGCCTGCCTTCTTGGTGCAGACAGCACGGCTCCTGTGGAAGCGGCGGGCTTTCATGGGCTTCGTTTCGTGGTGCACAAGGGGACGGAAGGCCTAGGAGACCGGTTGCAGCAGCTCCTTATGGTCGTTCGCTACGCACGAGCCACAGGCCGTGCCTTGGTTCTGGATTGGCGGGATCCGAAGTTTGCGCGGGACGGAGGCTTCAACTTCGAACACTTCTTTCAGCTGCGAAAGGTTCAGGTATTCAGCTCGGACGAGTTCTTGTACATATGGCGCAGACTGCAGAGCTACCTGAGAGTGGTACCTGTAATGTTTCGACATCATCTCGATGCGATTACAGAATCCCACTGGAACTGTTTAAAGTTCCCAGAAAACAACAGCCGCATGAATAGCATCGCAAACGGCGATTCGGAGGACTTCAGTGAAGAGGTGGTAGTGTTCGCTGGCGACCAGCACCGGTACTATCATTACGAAGAGATTGTGCACCTGAGATTGCAACGATGGATGGCGGACAAAGTGCGTCGCAGCCCAAGAAGCCGGAGTACACTCGTCTTTCCAAGACTGCTGCAAGCTTGCTGAGGCCGCTACATGCTCCGCGAAGGCTTGAAGAAGGGCGAGTACATCGTAGTGCACCTACGAGGAGGAGACAAGCCTTGGAAATGCCAGGCGCAGATTCTGAAATCGAGGCACGCAAGCTAGCAGTGCTCTGTACGAGCGCTTCTTGATGCCCCAGGAAGCAGCCACATGGTTCTATCAACCGAACACTGAGAGATTCAAGACCGCTGCCAACAAGTGGCCGTCACTGGATGACTACATCGTCTTCATGAGGAAGGAGCTCCAGCAAACGGGTCTGAACTTGAGAGTGGTCGTGGTCACCGACACCCCGTGTACTGGGCCCAGGTTGAGTTGCATGAGCCGCAGACTCTAAAACCCTTTGTTTGCCTGTTTCAGAGCCACATCGGTGCAAGCTCTTTTTGGACCAGGCCTGAAAGAAAGATGGGATGAGCTGTGTTCAGGCAGGGTGCAGGGTTCGCTCAGAGTGCAAACTGAAGGTCACAGAGAAGGCTTTGGGAGAAATGAGTTGCCTGCAAGCGTGCAGACTGCTCCGTTTGTTGAGGTGACAGCTGTACGTCAGATTCCACCCTACCTGTTCATCCGCCACAGCGCCAGCGGCGGCTAATTGCTGCATGGCTGATCATGGTTGAGGAAGGAAGTGTAGACCGATAGTGCGCCCTTCGTTTGAAGCTGCTTGAGGAGAATTCCGTGCTGGATTTCGCGCTGATGAGACGCTGGGTCCAGTTTTGAAGAAGCCGGTTTCGCTTATTCCGCTTACAGCTGCGTGACAGATTTGACCATCTGGTGACAGCCTGCCAATTGGCGTGCTAGCCCAGGCATGGCGGCCCGTGCCTGGCATCAACATTAGCATGGCAGTTGCGGCACTGGCGCTGAAGTCTGTTGAGACAACTGCAGAGACTACAATCTGGCTCTTGCATTCTGTCACTGCTGCTGTGAGACCAATTGCGACCCGCCACAGTAAAGCATTTGGGATATCTCAGGTGTGGTCGGAGATGGACACTCTCTGTTTGCAGCTTGTCAGCGGTTTGTAGTCTTTTGTTATCTTTTTCAATCCATCCCCTCAGCAGGCAACCATGGCCGAGAAGTGCCGTCTCACAGGCTCACGGCATCTCCCTTGCTGCGCATCCTCATGAGACTCATGAGTAACCTTTGCGACCACACATGTCTTGAGACCAGTTTATCTTGCACAAGATTGGCGAGACACACGCATGTTTCGCAGGCAAGATGAATTTACTGGGGCTTCAGGACGAAGACGGGCCCTTCCGAGGCACGACTTAGAAACACTTACATGCTCAGAGTCTCATTCGCACCGCTGCCACAGAGCAGCAAGAAGAGCTCACCATCATTCATCTAAACGGACCAAGCTGCCTTGGTGAGAAGCAAGAGGAATGCAGAGAAATCCATCATACAGATCATTGATGGCATGCGCATCAAACAAAACTTTTTTACGGATCAAAAACAAATTTTTGGGAATCAAAAACAACTTTGTTCGGATCAAAAAAAAACTTTCCTACTGAACAATGAGCAGAAAGGGCCAGAGTGTGGAGAGAAAAGAAGAAAACGAGCAGCATCAAAAAAAAACTGTTGCCGGATCAAAAAAAAACTTTCTGTGCAGGTGTGGACATAGAGAGCAGGGGCAAGAAAGGAAGGAAGGAAGGAAGGAAGCAAGGAAGGAAGGAAGGAACAAGGAAGGGAAGGAAGGAAGGAACAAGGAAGGGAAGGAAGGAAGGAAGGAAGGAAGGAAGGAAGCAAGCAAGGAAGGAAG